TTTAAAAATTAGGAGACAAAACTTGCTAAGGCACAAGAAGAACTAAAATACAGCATGGGTGAACAAGCAAAGGAAAAAGAATAAGGCAGTAACAGAAGAAACCAGCAAATAACAATAAGAACCAATGATTATAAATACTGAGGTGTAAGTGGAGAGTGATATAGAATGCAGGTTAGCTCATTTTAAAATAAAGAGAAGCAGCAGGCAAAACGGTGCAGTGAGATTTGTTGTTATGAAGGGCGATGAACTGAGACACACAGAGACAAACTGGATTTGGATTTTTGTAACATAGTGATACCTGAATGAATAGCATTCATTATTGCTTTAACAAATTTGGAAAAATGCTCTGTGAATAAACCCTGTTTAGATTGTTTCAACTTAGCCCCGACCTTAAACTTAACTTGAGCAATACCTGTGTATACATAAAACATTTCTATTTCAACTGTTCATTATTCTTCTAATACAGCTTTTGAAGCACATTCATGCCATTTTAGTGACCACTTCTTTCCTTTCATTGCAGGTGCTTTGGTTAAATCAATGCATAACAGATCTTTCCTCCGTGTCCAAGATAAGACCCGCCGTTTGAAGAAGCTCAAGCCACAGTGATAACTCCTTTTTTGACGTCAGCCTGGAAAGTTCCTTTCTTTTTAAAAAGTGAGCAGAGACCAGTAGGTTGTGTGAGGGGAATTTCAGGCTACAAGTTCCCCCAAAACAATGGGGGGACACATGGAAACTTTCCCAGCTGGTTACATAATATTATGGCTGTGGCCGATGAGGACAACTAACAGAGTGGCTGTTTGGTTGCTTAATAATGTGTAATGATTCGGGACTGCTGAGGCATTAACAATCCATTGGGCACAAAGGGGAGCAAAGCTCTTTACCACACAACAGCTCCACATAAGCTCCAGATTGAATATTTGATAGACCCAGTCCTGACGTCACTCTAACCAAGTGCTGACCCCCCCTCATACAGTTTAGAGCTGATATCTGGTGTCCTACTTTTCTCTGACACTTTCAGTGTTTTCTCTGCATACAGCCCAGAAAACAGCCTGTGGTTTTGTACCGTATCAGGCTGAGTTTCGGGTTTCTACTAAAGACCTCATGTGGCTCACAGCTTGTTGTTGGGAGTGAGCAAAACAAATCTGTTTTCAGTTGTGCACTAGCACTTTGCTTGTGCAACCTTCGTGCACACTGAACAATTGATGTTGCATTTACATGTTCTGTTTGTTAGCATATGGTTTTATAATGATGTATTCATCATGACAATGTAGGTATGGACCTACAAATATGAGCTTTTAAAGGAGCACCTTTTACCTCTATACTTTAGATGTAGTGTAGGTGTGCAATAGGAGGATGACTTTTCACCTTTTGGCTTTTTACTCAGGATGTGGTGCTTGCATCAAAACTAGTGTGGTGCATTTGTTTTTTTATTATTACATCTGCCCTTTTTAGAATTAAGTAAGGAGAAGAAAGCTTTCAGCCCATTTTATGTTAGAATATTTATTTTAGTAGCTGTTCTGGCTGGATCTATTGTTAAAGAAACAATATGTGGCAGAGATGATTTATGGAGACAGATATTGATTAGACCAAGACATATATGTCAGCAATAAACATATCCAAAGATGAAAGATTTCTGTGAACTGCTGACTGAAAGAACAATGTTGCACCACATATGTATTTTCCCTTTAATTCAATGCTAAGGGGTTGAACAAAATTGTTATTGAAGGAAAACCAATGGGTCATTATTTATACCTTAAACTAATTTGTTCATGGTTATTTAATGAATTTAGCGTTAATCAAAAAAGATATATAAAAAATATTTTTCGTTGCGATCACTAAGTAAAGGAATGACCATTTTTGCCCAAATATAGTAACACCTCACTCCTGCATCTTCCTGCAGTGACGTCGTGGTGCGGTAAGCCTATCGCCATTCTCCCTGCTTTACTAGCAAAATCAATGGGAACTAATAGACACCCTTGCAATCAACAACAATAATTCAAGATTTTGAGAGGACTTCCCCATTGAAATTTGCAAGTGCTATACTTAAACTGACAATGCCCACATGCATGGCAGTTGGATGTTGTAATAAATCAGGTAAAAGTGGGAAAAAAAATTACTTCACCTTTCAAATTCATGATCCACCACTGGTTCGTTGTTGGATTGGTGACTTAAAGAGGGAGGATTTGCCTTAGAACTTCGGGCAGGAGAATGGTGATGGTCATCGCCATCATGGATAATAGCACGTTGTAACAAACACCAGATACTATCACAGTGGGGTGTAGGTTTGACAGGACCCAAATGCAGACACTGAAGCTGACGTGGTTTCTTGAAGATTTAATAACAAAAAGGGTAACAGAAGCAAAAATCCAAAAACATAAATCAACAAAATTCCAAAATACTGAAAACCAGGAATACTCAGAAGGGGGCAAAGAAATGACGACAAACCAGCAAAGAGTGACTGAACAGGAGGAGAATATATGGGAGAGAGAAGCAAAGACCAGGCTAATTAGCAGATTGGGAGCAGGTGTGAACAGTGGCAAGAAGGGAGCTCAGGAAAAGGAGACTGACACAGGAGGGCAAACAGGAAATATCTAAGAAAAAAAAAGTATCTTAGTTTTCAGTTAGTTTTCTATTTGTTTTTTCATAAACAAAGGAAAATATGAGTACTGTTGCATGAATTTACCTTTACTTTCATATCCAGTTCTCCCAACAGTCTTATAAAAGACACCTAATTAGTCACCAGACTCCACCTATGTTTTTCAAATCAAGCAGAGCATCAGAAATCTATTGAGCACTGATATATTTATTGAAATAAAACGTTTGAAAACCAAGGAACGGCTCAAAAGAAACCAGAGAACAGCCCACAGCTACTGTGCCAAGGGGCTTGACGACAGACAATAAAGGAGTTTGTGAGAAGGGAATAAAAAAAAATCTGGCTTTATATGTGGACCAGATTAAACAGGGGGTCGAGGGGCAGCTGAATGAACTAAGATGAGGATAAAAGGGAGAGGGACTATTTAAAACAAAATGGAAACAGAGAACTGAAAAGAACCCAAAAGGATCTTACCAAATAATAAAAAAAATTAAGATAATACCAACATAAGACTAAACTTATACACAAAAGACTAAACCAAATTAAGGATTTAGAATAATATCTACATGGAAAACGATATACGGAAAATCCAACAACTCAAAATCATTCAAATACAAAACTTGAATACAAAGACCCCTGGTCGTGATGCATTTAATCTATCCCCAGTTTCTGGATCAACTGCTGACCTAGAGGCACTGTGATGGCGATGTAGGTGTGGCACTCACACTGTTAGGCAACAGGAACACACTCAACATAGGCGGACCTAATTTCTAGATGACTAAGAAGAAATTAACAGTAAAATAGAGTTCTAGAGTAAGTATTTTTAATTTCTGATGTCCGTGTTCAAATCAAACACAAGCCTACATCATTGAAATTGCAACAAAAAATAAAACTCTTCTAAATTAGATTATAGATTTTATGCAAAATCTGAATTATAACTTAAAAGAAGGATTTGCAAAGATGACCTTTTTTATTTAGAAGGCTAGGCACATTCTTGATTGCATAGTAATAAGGAGACACATGAAGTCAGCAGTGCTCATATACATTTCATATCTGAATATTTCCCTCTGTGTCAAATGCATGCCAGCAATATGGGATTATAAAGCAGGTAATAATAGCTAATAAATTAAAAACATAGATAATGAAGTGAAATTCTACTTTTTACAGCATTTATTTTGGGCTGGTGGTATTGTAGCAATATGCTACATTTGTAAAGTTCTGCTTCCTAGATTTAATCTCGTTTGCGTTTTAAACATGGGAGTAGGTTTGTATAGGGACCATACGGACATTTCCCTACCAAAAGTTTGGACCGACCTACTTGTCCCTACCAACAATTAGATGTAAATAACATGTTTATAATTTACAATACAGCTCTGTTGCAGCAGTAGATGAGTTCTGGATGCAAAATATTAACAGCAAAAAACATCTTTTATCTAAAATGCAAAATGTTTCTATATATATATATATTTTTTTACAATTTTGGTATAATTCCTGCTCTAAATCGGTCGCTTGTGAGTTAAAGACATGTTTTAGAGTCTCTATACTCCAGTTAACAGTAAATTCATTGCTAATTTTTTTGACATTTCAATAATCAATTATTCCGATGAATTGTTTCAGAGCAAGATAAAATACATAATATGGGTTATATTGAGTAACTACAGCCTAGATGACTTCGAGTGAAATTAATATTCTAAATGCTCAGTGTCAGTTCCAGTGCTCATGTAAATGCAATAAATTTATTTTGCATCCCTTGAATCTTTTATTTTGCTTTGTTTCATGATACATAGAGAATATTTAAAAGATAAGAGTGGGTTTACCTCTGCACAATTGTATATCTTCAAAAGAAAAAACAAGATAAAGCCACATATAACAGACATATTTAGACTATATTTTGTTAAATAGGCACAGATTTACTTTCTGAGAAAAGTCATAATTCCTCATTCATCAGATGCTTCAAACATTGATAAACAGCATTATAAAATTTGTACAAATGTAGAAATAACTCTTTAAACAAAATACACCCCGATTTTCACGTCAAGCATAAACAAACGAGCATGCATATTTTTGCATAGGACCATAACGTCAGTCCAATAGTGTCCCTACCAAAGTTGAAATCAAACCTACGCCCTTGGTTTTAAACTTTTCTTAACTTCATGCAATCTTTATTTTTTTTCTTTCATTTTACGTCATTTTTACCACGTCAAATATATGTTTCCGTTTACATTTGAGGAGATTTTCAAAGGCTTAAAAAAAAAAGGGCGACACACATCGATTTGATTCAACTATGATTAAACTATTTGATTAAACTATGAACACCTGTCCCCTGCACACTTAGTAAAAATGAAAGTAGTGGTATTGGCTGTAGCCCTAAACGGAAGTGACGTACTATAATAGTTTTGCTTCCTGGAGACGGTTGCTACAACCGTCGCGGACTTGCCAGCTTTTAAACAAGTTGCTAACTAGCTCAATTGTAGCGCTAATTTAAAACGACTTTCTGTGGATAAAGGTGCGCGTGGGTTTCTGAAGCATGGCTCTCCCATCCTACAACCACAGAGACCCAAACGGAATGTACACTTTCTCAAGTCGACCCAGACCCGTTGAGGTCCGCTCCAAATATAGACCTAGAGAACCATCGCAAGAACAGTACGTTTCTTTTCTAAATGGTCAACTTGAATAATATAACTAAGCTTATTGCTATTAGAACTGTGTAAGCTTTCAATTACATTTAGGCCTAACACTCAGTTTTACGTTTTTATTGAGCAGGGGCGGAGCTAGATGGGGGGCCAGAGGTGGCCATAGCCACCCTTACCCAATAATTGTTCACCCTTACCATTTTTTCCCCATCTAATACAGATAGTGGCAGCAGTAATACTCTCAAGTGGAATATTAAAAACATTTTTTTTTTGTTAATTATACACATCAATATACTAACATCAAAGTTGATAAGTAGAGAATTCATGCTCTTTTCAGAGGTAGATTTTCTGTTATATGGGGTAAAGAGAAAAATATGTGTCTCTGCAAGTTATCTAGGAGTCTTAATTGAAATCAAAGATAACAATTTTAATAAAAACTTATCAAATAATCAATTTATGTAGATATTAGTGCTTGTAAATATAAATTTTATGCAGAATGTTTATTGATACAGTAGGTAAGTAATGACAATGGATTTATGCCCCATGTTAGGTTTATTATTTATACATCATGTGCATTGTTATTCTGTTAGCCAGATTAGACAGAGTAGAAGTCAAAACTGAGTTTTATCCACTGTACCTTATACCCATTCTACCGATGTTTAAATAAATGGGCCTATTTGTTAGCAAAGGCTGAAGGAAAGTTGGCTGCTCAGTGGCACAGTGGGTAGCACTGCTGCCTTGCAGCAAGAAGGTTCTGGTTTTTGATTCCCAGCCCGGGATCTTTCTGCATGGAGTTTGCATGTTCTCCCTGAGCATGTGTGGGTTCTCTCCGGGTACTCTGGTTTCCTCCCACAGTCCGGAGTATGAATGTTAGGTTAATTGGCTTCTCTAGATTTTCCTTAGGTGTGTGCTTGAGTGGTTGTTTGTCTCTGTGTTGCCCTGCGATGTACTGGCGACCCGTCCAGAGTGTACCACGCCTCTTGCCCATTGACTGCTGGAGATAGGCACCAGCACCCCTCGTGACCCCAAGCGTGTCAGATAATGGATGGATGGGCTGTAGGAAAGTATAGTTAGTCTTTATTTAGAAAATATGGATGTTTTGCTAGTTAATTATCCTGTTGGAACAGTGTAGATTGACCGTGGGTTTCTGGTGCCTATCCACTTTTGACCCCCTCTCAGTGTACATTGGTTATTGCCTGGATACCCTTATAAAAAAAATTTCTGGCTTCGCCTTTGTTAATGAGTGCAGTGGTTCCAAACGGAGGGTTTGGGTCCTCACTCTGGGCCATAAAAAAAAATGAATTTAAGGATCGTGAAATGATCTTTGGGATATAAATACTAGAAATATATATATATATTTAAACAATATCTACTCGTTATCTACTCAGCTCAAATAAAGTATTTTTTAGCCTATCGAGTTTTAGCAGATATATTTTTGTTTACATCGTTTATAGTGCTCCTCATTTAATTTTTTATAATTTCATTTGTATTTTAAGACCTGGCACTTATTTGTCCAACTTAAAAAACACAGTTAGATGTAACTAGCAAATGGAGAAAATGCTTTTCTTTTAACTACACTTCAGTCTGTAGTTTTTTTTTTTATACAATTAATAAAATGTGGTCTTTTGATAAATACATTTTATTAACCTGAATGTGTTTTCTCTTTTAATAAATAATAAACTGGTAGTAATGTAATTTCACCTCCTGCTTACAACATAGGACCCAAAGGGAGTATGGGAATATTAAGTATGATCGACGGGTTGTCAGAGGAAATACCGTCAACCAGTCCCTCATTCCAAGAGTATGTATAAAACTTCAATGGTACCTTATTTTACTAGATTTTTCTCATTACTTTGTATCACCAATTGCCTGCAGACTGATCAATCAGATCCTGCTACAAATGAAAGACAGCAAGCTTTCAGGAGGAGAGCTATTGCTCGAAGACAGGAAAGGGATTACTTAAGAACCAAGACTCCTGAAGCTTTGCTGAGTAGACAACATGTTGATGTGCAGACAGGTAGGACTCTTCTTAAATAAATTCTTGTCTGAGAGTTTTGGAACCATGGAATTTAAGAACTACTTCCTCTCTTACTACTAGATCTTTACCTTGAAGAACTGAGCAATGTTAATTCAGTCACAGACATTGAATGTCAGACTGATAAGTTCATGGATAAACCGGCAACTCCACTTTTTATTCCTGCAAAAACCGGGGTAGATGCTGAAACACAGATAGAGGAAGGAGAAGTGAGTACTTCCAGCAGAAATAAGAGGTAATAAGAGGGTAAAACCAACTAATCCTCATTTTAATCTAAATATCCTCTGTAGTTGTTTGACTTTGACCTGGAGGTGCAGCCTGTCTTGGAGGTCCTGGTGGGGAAGACGATTGAACAGTCTCTTCTGGAAGCGATGGAGGAGGACGAGCTGGCCTGCCTGAGGAACCAGCAGAGGATCTTCCAAGAGCTCCGAAACAATGAGCTGGCAGAGATGCAACGTCTGCAGGAGCAGGAGAGACGCCGCCAAGAGGAGAAAGTAGGAGAACGAGCAGCTTAGATTTTTAAACATTCAACAGTCTCGTCTTAATTTATATTTCATCTTTTTTATATCATTAAAGCAGAATGAAAAAAATAGATATCTTATGCAATCAGAGGTTGGAGTTTTGCAATAACGATATATTTAGCATGTGATCTGTGGGTTTAATTTGATGAGATTGTTGAGGTTGTCAAGGACACTTTCTAATCTGATTGACGCTTTTCTTAGAAAGCTATTTTTGTTTTTACTTTTCTCTTTTTTTTATTTAGTTTTTACACTTGAAAACCTTTGGGTGAAACATTAGGCAAATTACATGCATATTAAACTAATTTTCTTTTGATTCCAGGAGCGTAGAATTGCCCAACAGAAGGAGGTGCTGAAGAAGGAGCAGGAGACTGTAGAGAAGATCGCTGCCCGGGCGTTTAGTCAGCAGTACTTGGCTGGGCTCCTCCCTTCAGTTTTCACCTCTCTGAGAAACCAGGGATACTTTTATGACTCTGTGGAAAAAGGTTCACCTCTTAGCTTTCACCATTCAACCACAAGAGGGCATAGTTGCTCTACTCTGTATTAGAGCATTTATTTATTGCTTTTTTTGTGACTGTAATTTTGCAGATGTTGAGGTTAATTTCCTCCCATGGCTCATGTCTGAGGTCAACAACCAATTGAAGAAGAGAGACACTGCAAGACAGATACTGGACAGTAAGTTTTATTAAACCTCTAGTTTATGCCTGTGTAAATTCTCAGTCATCCATGTCATGGCGACCACAAACAAGCTTAAATTGGAGGGCAACCGGAATTTCGATCAGCTTTTTGAAGACCCTTTGACACCTATCCAGGTGCCTTTGTCAATTCTGTTGACTGGCACCAGAGTCTGGTTGCCTTCTAATTGAAGCCTGTTTGTGGTTAAGCTTTAGTTTACTGCTTTATCCATTGATCCAGATTTGTTATTCTGAAAATGAATCATCTAAAAGGATCTAAGATCGCAATGTTCAGTACATCTATTTATTATCAGAGGTTAATTAGGTTACGCTAGGGAAAATCCTTGCATCAAACCCATGGAACACAGTAAACAGCTCAGGGGTTAGCTGCATTAGGTTAAAGGTTCTAAAGCAATATCCCAAGATTAAAGCTTTGCACAAAACAGGAAGAGTAACACAACCAAAAACATACCAATAGGTGGTCACCCACCATAGGAGGCTGGTCAGTAAGAGCATTCATTTGAGAACACTTCTAGAAGGCTCTGGAGGGGCTGCAGAATTAGGTTAATTTGCAGGACAACTACTAATAAAATCCACAAATGTTCCTTTTATATTAAAGAGTAGCACAAAGGAGATTATTATTTTAAATGAGTCATGTATGTCCTGCTAGCATTTTTTAATAAATCATTCGCAAACAAGAGCAAGCAAAGAAATGTTTGGCTCTAGCCAGATTAGCACAAAATTGAACTTTTGAGACTGAACAGTATAAGTGAAAGATTAACACTGCTCATCACCCTGAAGATACCATCTATTCTATGCAGCTAAACAGAGGTGGCAGCATCTTACAGTCAACATGTTTTTCTTCAGCAGGACAATGAGACTGAATGATAGAGACTGTTGGCCAGTCAGATATCGGAGCTATATCCCATTGAGAATGTTAGGCAATACCTGGAAATTCCCCAGTTCTCCATCTAGTCCAACTTTCCACAAAATAAAATAAAATAGTAAAGTTAAATGAGGCGATAGTTTGCCAGGTGAGTGGGCTAAATAAAACTACATGCTATAGTTTTTGTTCCTTTACTTTACAATACCTTAAATACTTTGTTCTAGCAAAAACAAAAACCAGTTAATTAAATACATTTGGATCTCAAGCAGTTTGGATACTTTTACAAGAAACTGTAGTTATTCACGAACAACCTCATTTGTGGGGATTGTAAAAACCTGTGAAGAAAAATGTTAAATTTCACAACTATAGGCCACCAAAATATTTCAAAACTGGAATAATGGCTAAATGTTAACCCTTTTAAACTAGTGCCATCTACTGGTAGGTGCTAAATATTACACACATCACGAAAGTGCAGAAAGAGCATTATTGAGCAAAATGTTTCTTATAGATGTTTATCTTCTGTTTCTGTTTCAGACATGATCTATAAACTAACTCTGGAGAGAATGGATGAGTTCAAGCAACTGGAACCCCAACAAGACAGCTCTGACCCATGAAAATACCTGCTGATCAACAAATGTCCCGAATCAGAGATAAAAGTCTTAATATAAATGCAGTTCAAAATAACCAGTTTCTTTCTTTCCTTATTACACAATTCCCTGTGAATTAAAATGAATACACATGCAAACAGTGTATGATCAGCTCAGGGGACTTTTATCGTTCTTGGAACATAAATAAAATAAAGGAACAGAAATTATTTTAAAATTTTAAGTGCCTAAATAACCTTGCCCCATTTTACCTCTGGGCTTCTTCACCCCTACTTGCCTCTTTGGTCCCTCAGGTCAGCAGAACAGCAGCTCTATTGGGGTTTAGGCGGAAGCTCAGAGGAGCCAGAGCCCTTTCTATCGCTATGGAATAGCCTCCCACTGCTCATTAGGGGGACTCCTTCCCGGATAAAATTTAAAAACAGTGCTTAAGTCTTACTTATTTTCGCTGGCTATAAGAATGGCAGGATTTAGTTGTGACTTGTTTATTTATCTTAAACAAATTCTTATTATTGTTCTATTTTATATTTTTATGCTGTATTTTATTCTTTTATTTTGTTTTATTATTTTTAGGTACGTTCAACACTTTGTTTTCAGTTGCTGTTTTGAAGCACTATACAAATAAAGATGATGATAGATAAAAAGCTTTTCTCATGAAATAATATGTAAGATTTAAATATTTCAAGACATTTTGAGCCATATTTTTCCTCACTTTGCCAGTTCTGCTGTTACGGGATATTTGAAACATGATTTATATGTTAAATAAAGAATAAAACCCCCCAAAAAATTTTGAGAAAAATATTTTTACTTCTTAAAGTAACCAGAAACAACTTAGAACAAAGCTCAAAGTGGTGCATGATAAAGCCGTTCTATGGAAGAAGATATATTTCACTGTCTCATTACTTTCCTCGATTTGTTTACTAGCAGTGAATGATTCTCAGGTGTTCAATATATTTTTTTTGCTATAACGTTCATAATACAATCTAACCTATTATTTTTGTCCTGTCATATTTTGAACGTCCACAATCATTGGCGGTGAAATCTTCTCTGACTGAAGCTGCCTCCCATTTATGTTTTTTTTAGTTATTGGTTTAAAGAGAATAAAATCTGCTCAGGAGAAAAGGCTATTTTACAAATCTAAGGATAATTTTAGAGTATGAAGTTAAAAAGGGGTTTGAAAGGTCATATCTAGGTGTTCAGGGTCACTAAACAGGGTTACTGAAATGTTTAAAACTCCAGTAGAAATGGAAACCCAAGAAAATCAATCAACTCTAAAGATTTATCTGTACTCACAGACTGTTCTAATGAGTAGTCAGCCCTGGAAATGTTGACAAACTGAGGCGACTTTCATCATTTGCTATTAATAGATTTAGATAAGAAGGCTAATACCTCATAACCTGTAAATGTGAGGTTTTGAGAGGTGCATCTTAGCAGAGGTCCAATTCTTTCAGAGCCTCTCTAACCCAGAATGGCTCCCTGCTGTCCTCATCCCACCGCCTCGCAAAAAAAGCAAAGCAAACAAAAATAAAAGTTATGAGTAGTCATTCATACTGCTGGTGGCAAATATCTCCACATATTAAGAGGATTATTCAAATCACCTTCCTTTGAATTAATCTTTGATTTGCATCTGCATCTCCCAGTTCAGTTAATTCAGTGCCACCAACAGGCAAATTTAAAAATATTTTGCATTTTTCAGACAAACTGTTCTGCTTAACTCGTCATGGTAATGAAACGTAGGAAAGAATCTGAATTCATTTTATTAATGAACAATCTGGGGACTTCTTTAAACTTGAGAATTCCTTTTATATTAGAACATTAAGAGTGAGGCGAGATCTATATTTAGTTTTTCAAAATCCACAGGCTGAGTTTGATGAGCTGGAGCTTCAATGAAAGGCGTGGCTGTGAGCAGGACCGTCGCATTTCTCAGTGGTTTCGTCTTATGCTAAGAAGTAGGTGAAACCTGGGATATATAGGGCTCTATTTTAATCCCCACTGCGCCATTGGTCGGCTCACCTTTGACGCCTCCCACCTCTCTGCATCTTGTTGGCTGCAGGCGGATCCCTTCCTGTCTGTGAAAGTTCCTAGTTTGATGAGGTGACACCTCCCTCCCTCACACTTTGTTTGATCAGCTGATTCATCTTCTGATTGATGCGCTCACTCACAGTCAGATTACATCAACAGCTCCTGATGCGCACCCTCACTGGGTTCATTCAAAAGCAAATGTTGCATTTATGTTCTTATTTAGTCAGGGTGATACTAAATCCTATGGGATCACACCGTTTCTGTGTTTAAAAAAAAAAATCATAAATATGTTAATAATTAAATTCATTTTTTTTTGTAAATTTAGCAAAAATAATTTAAGATAAAAAGTTTTCCAAAAAAATATAGCATAATAGATAAAAAGATATACATGTTAACCTAAGTCTAAACAGATCCTAGGCTATGTTTGATGGCTTAAACAGAGATTATTTTGTTTATGATCATTTTATTGGGGCAGAGGTAGCCTAGTGTGGTTAGGGCACTTGGAATCCAGAGGTTCTGAGTTTAAGCCCCACTCCCACAGACTGCCACTCTGGGTCCCTGAGCAAAGACCCTTAACCCCACACTGCTCCCCAGGCACCCCACTATGGCAGCCCACTGCATCCCAAGGGGATGGGGTAAAAACTAAACAGAGGTACATTTTCCCAGTGTGAGATCAATAAAGATCAATTACTATATTTATAAGGTAGTCTATATCTGAATAAACTTGAAAAAAAAAAAACATTGAATATGAGATTCATATATAAAGTCATTACAGAGGGCTTCCTTTCATAAATTTTTTTTTCAGTTATTTGCTTTTATTTGCTTGAAAAAGGACAGAGACATATTCTACAAGGAGGGTTCTTACAAAAGAAGCTGGCTGCTAACATGGTGTATGCGTGTATATCACTGGAAAGTTAAGTGGAAGGAAAAAGTCTAATAAAAAGTGCCCAGAAACACAATTGCAATGAAAGAAAAGTTAATTTTCAGGGATTTCAGCCTACAGGATTTTTTTTCTGTATACTGTTCATTTATTTAGCTCCACTGAGAACCAATTCCAAACATTTTTTTCTCCTTATAGCAGAAACATTCTTCTGTCTTTGCTCCAGGACTGGTTTAACAAAAAAAATTAGACATTTCTAAGCGTTGCTTTTGAGATGTGTGTCATTTCAGCAAGTCCATAGATCCTAAAACTATGTAGGCCTATTTGTGTAGCTTTTCTCCTGGTGGACATCCGTCAAACTATCAGTCAATCCCATGGTTGTGTAAAGCATAACATTTAGAAAAAAATTTTTTATTGGACTCTTGTGAAATTTAACGTTCAGCTCCCAGTTGCTGTACTCCATAATATTAAGATATATAATTAGGATGTGTATAATACATCTATATTTATTCTGGAAATAAATCAACATGTGGTTGATTTTCCAGTTTAGAGGGGAAGTCTCCCTAAAAATGGGAACCTATGGAGTCCTCCATCATCCTGACTCTCCACTATCTTGGATGCGCCATATTGAGTCTTTCCGAACTGACGCAGTTTAGAGGGAAATCTGCGGAAAATACCAACACATCTCCTCTTAACCAACACCAAGCTCCGGTAAGACTTCCGCCTCAGCAGCTGTTGACTTAAGACAGTCGGTCACTTCTAAAATACGCAAATACCCAATTTGTTTTTCCGCACTTTTATTTGTTTCTACCTGGTACCTCCCTGCTGCTCTACACTAAGGAGGAAACTCTCCCAACAGGTGCGAAGTAACACAATCCTGTAGGAGGTTTTATTTTTTTTTTTCTTTTAAAGCCAAATACTCCAGAAATAACCCCAGTTTAGTAATTATTTACTTTGTAACATTTAAAGACATTAAACAGGTTGCTCTATTTGAGAGCTTTTTTGTTAGGCGCATCACCTGGTTGCGCCTAACGACGCCAGGTGACAAACAAATAGGTGGATATGAAGGTCTCCTGGAAATAAACTGAGGTGTGGGCCTGTTGGTGAATGAAAGCGTCATCCCTGAATGTTAAAACAGTTTGGGTGGAGACTTCAAATTTATTGTAGGCTGTGGGTGAGGCAAATAACAGACATGTTAACGTCCATGTGCCTTTGTGAGTATTTGCTAGTCAAGGTATGGCAAAATATGTAGGTCTTCCTGTTAAAAATTTCAAAATAAAATCCGTAAGTTAATTTTTTTTTTTTTTTTTTTTAGTGGTGGGATTGCATTTTTTAATACCAATTTAGAAATCTTAATTTCAGAGCTGAGTTGATTTGATTATTTTTTACGCTCTACTTTACTCTTCTTTATTGTTCCCAGCATCGCCTCTTCTACATGTCTGGGTTTAACAAATCCCCACAGATATAGCTTTAAACATCTCAAGAAGAAAGGAAATCGTGTTCATTACCGTATATGAATTGAAAGCTCAATTTTTCGACTATTTCCAAAAATTCTTTGAGATCGGGCCAAGGATGAGGGGGGTCTTGTTGGTCTCCATCTGCCAATACGCTCTCGCCTGTGTCCGACCTTTCAGACATTTTAACATCTTTTTCTGAATCCCACATTGTAGCAGGGCATAGACAATTCACGTTGGCAGTTTGAAGAACACCTTCTTGCTTCTGATGATTTCCTTTAGCTAACCAATGAGTGTTTGCTTTAAATCAATCATCCAATTACACAAGTTTTCACTAGATGTGGATGGCACCAATGATCTGCATTAGATGGCGCACATGACATGAAATAAATATTTATAAACATTAAACCAAAGCCAAGAGTAACGAGTAACGTTTGTTTTAAAAATGTAAGGAATAGAAAGTACAGATACTTGTGTGAAAATGTAATGAGTACAGATGAAAAATAAGTAATTGAGTGAGGTATAGACACCTAAAAAGTGTTCTTAAGTACAGTAGCAAAGTATTTGTACTCTGTTACTTGACACCTCTGTTGTTTTTGTTGGCAGCGTCATTCAACTAGCTTTAATATAGAAGTCGTGGATGTAACAAATAATTAAGTTAGTGTTTAATATCTGACCATCTTAAGATTTTTTTTTATTTACTAAACAGATACCTTAAATGCAGAGGTGGATAATCTAGGTCCAGAAAGTATAAACTAGTTGTCCTTCATCCTACTCACTTACGCAGGTAAAAAGCCCCTAGTGTCTTTTGTGGAGCTGGGAATACAATACTTTTTAGTTTCTAACCTTGGATCATCCCCCTCTGTTTAATTGTATACATTAAACTTAGCATCTGCCCATTTATGGAAAAAGATTTAGATTTTGCAACAACAAAAAAAGTTAGGTGCTCTTATTTTGAAGGGCTCTTCTTGTTGGTTACCTTCTGCGGACAGTTTTCAAAGGTGATTCATCCTGATGATGACGGCCGCCTGCAGGAGTGTCGAGGTGCTCTAAGCTGAGTTTTAAGGGAGGCACAAGTGGCTGAAACTAGTTTCTCCTCTTTTCTCTCTGTCAGAAAGACGCACTGAGAACCAGAGCTACGCGGAGCGCACATCTTTATTTTATATCTTTATTTCTCGCTCTTCTATTCAGCATCTCTTCTATCTCAGCTGGGAATAAACGGACGGCAAAATGCCCAAAGCGGTAGGTGAACCTTTGCTTTATTGATATTTTAATTCGGTCATTATCAAATCACTGCTATAGTTGGAAAGTAATAGAATAATAATAACCTAGTTATTTAAATTTAACTTGGAATAAAGATTTTATTGTTTAAGTTTTTTTTTTTACTGTAAGACCAGATTTGATAGATTGAATGATATTTATGTCCTCCTGTCATTACAGACTCAGACCAATTGTGTTTTTAAATATGATTAATTCTTGGTTTAACATGACAAAGTGGATTGCTTTTTTTTTTTTTGACTTTCCTAAATAAATATCACTTCACAGGGATAAATCACACTCAGCTCAAACAAATCTGTTAAAAACTGTCCTGCTCCACCTAAGCTTTGAGTTTAGGATTTGTTCTCCGGTTGTAGAAGAAGCTGTTCTCTGTATTTGAACAGGTTATTCTCCTGACTCACTTTGCCCCACCCCACCCAGCATTTGCACCTTGTACAATTTAACAGTCACACACTTGTCTAACTCACTGTTTGGAAACTTCTGCTGACGCACACATGTGGATCTTATTTTAGACAGGAAAAAGTGATGGAGATGTTCTAGTTATGAGCAGGAGCAAAGTGCATGTCGTCTCTACAAATAGAAAGTTCAGAATGGACCTAACATGTGGTGGATGGTTTAATTAGTAACACATGCAAAACAAGGTTAAATTGAAAGGATGACTTAAAAAGCAGCAGCTATTATCTGCATTTTGTTTTTGCTCAGGCGGTTGAACAGATCCATGTTGTCTATGACAATGACCAAAGCAGCAGCCATCCAAGTCGTAAAATGTGTTGTTGGTTTGTTTAGAAAGTCCTCTGGGTTGTCATGAGGGTTTCTGTGGAAATTACATCATTGCCATGTGAAAGCAGCAACATGCCGTTGCCACAAAGCAGGCTTTTTCAAGAACCATAATATTAGACTGTATGCAGTCAAGTTTTCCACAGGACCATGGGGAACTCGGAAGTTAATGCTGAAAATGTTTCCCCCTCAAATGCTTCACTTAATCTTTGCAATGGAAGAAATGCTTCCAGAAGTCTTCATAATTAAAACCTATCCTATAGCTGCTGTGTCTCACTTCTGGTTTCGGAGGTATCTAGGAGACTGTTATTTCACATCTATGAAAAGTGTGAATTTATATGATCAAGCTGAAAAGGTGTGACACAAGCCAGCTTTTAATAAGAAAAAAATGGAAAAAGGAGGAAATTTCACCTAGATTATCACCATATGGTACACATTGCAGCCAGTCTCAGTTCTTTATCGATTGGTCTGTTATTTTCTTGTATTCAGGCTTGTCTTTTACATCCTGGAGTCAATGACTTTGGTGATTTTTATTTTTAGTTCTTAATTTTGGTCTGAATTCACTTTTTTTTGTAGAAATTGCCACATTCAGATTTTTCCTCAGTCTTTATGTTTAATAATAGCCTGTTGTAGTTTGTAGTTTGTTTAATTTTTGCCAACTTTAAAATGCATCAAAGCAGTTTGCATCTTTTTGATAATATAGACTGTTGAGGATTTATTGAAGCTTTGAGTTTTCAGCCCCATTGATGTGGGCAGATTTAGCTGAAAATCAGCTTCAATTTTAAGATTTTTACATTTGGAAAGCTGAAGTTGCTCTCAAAGAGAGAGATAGACGTCTTTCTGGAGACAAAGAGACGAGAAAGACTTGTACTGGATAACTCTGTAAGTGGGACGTTTGGTCTACCACTACACCAACACGCTACCCTGGTTGAGTACATTTTTGTATAGGAAGTGGCTCAAATTGTTATAAATCCACTTAGATTTAAATAGGAGACATGATTTCTAAGGAATGGATATCCAACTTATCCAAAGCCACCTGCATTTATCTTTCTGTTCAGAAAAATCAAACCTTTTTAAGGACATTTTTAACTTGTCATCAACTAAGAAGTAAACAGATATATGTGATCGTTAAAATCTACAGTTAAAAAAAAGTAATAGCAAGACCCAATTTTTAAAATGTTATTTTAACCCTAAAATAAATTCTGTCTGGAGACGCCTAAAAAGAGGATTTCATAATATGAAATGCCCCTGTGGGTTTAATCTCTCCCACTTTTGTCTCATGATCATTTGTCATTCTCTTGAATGGGGAGCTTCATCTACAGAAGAGCACAAATGCCTTCCAGAAATTATGCAAATCAAAAGTCAAATGCAACCCCTCCATTTTAAGACATTTAAGATGCTGCCTGGAGGAAAATTGAGTAATAAAAGTAAAACATTTCTAACCTGAGGTAGTTTCTCAGCAATTATAACATAAAACTCCTTCTAATTTGTGTTGGAAAGGGGAGACTCCTTTTTATTACAGGGGCTTGGATGATATTTGAAGACCAGTGTTTCTAATGCTCCTATATCAATGGCTCTCTGTCTTATGTGTCACTTATTTCAATGACACATTATGGGAAGTAAATGATAACGCACCTTGGCTCTCCTAGAATCCTGTCTCCTTGAGGACATCGTCATGACAGAAGATCATTCAGGATATGTGTTTGTAGGATTAGCCCTATTATTGGGATTTGTCTCTTTTTAACATGTTGTAAATTGGCCTCATGTGGAACTCTGTGTGTCTGTCATTCATCTTTGGACCCTTCAGTACCAGAAAACCAATATTGCACTGCTCTTCATGCTCCTGAGGCTGGTCCATAAATCTCAGTTGAGTCACCATGGCAGTTCCCATTGTTCTGGATTCTTGTAAAGCGAGTAAGCTATGCAGAGGGTTAAATATTGAACAGACTTGACTCAGGAATGCAGCTCAGCTTATTCTTTGTAACCTTAGAAGTGATGACCACCTTGGTTCTTAAACCTGACCCGTGCCATTTACTTAACCTGAAGGATTCGGTTCATAATTATACTGATCCTCTAAATTTCAGAGCTGCACGGTGTGAGGAATTCTTTAAGAACAGGTGGATGAAAGGATTAAGTTTCATATAATTAGGTTTAAATTTCAACTACCTTTTGAAAAAAAAATCAATGCCATTCACAGGCTTTGAAATGTGCAATAAGGAAAGAATCCAGTCTTGTATTTGACAGCTGAAAGGGAGGAGCAGAACAAACTTGGTGATTGAAAGACTAGATCTAGTGATTTCAGCTGAAGGGGATAAGCCCACCAGTTAGGGGGTAGGGTGTCCCAACTTTTCGCTCGCTTTTAATCTGCATTTCGCTGTCTTTTAAGTAGTGAAATGTGATTTATTTTAGGTGTCCCCTGTAATTTAATCACTTACTTTTGTAAAGATAAACATAAATAGGCAGTGATATGTGAATTTATCTGATTAAAAGATATAAATAATTAATAACGTGTCCTGATTTATTTGCAGTAGTGTAAGATTGTAACAGTTTGCTGATATCCTTTTTAAATAACTGATAAATAATGTGAGGTTCTTTAACCTCATATTACAAGTTGCTCCGAAATTTTTTTTGTGGCTATAAACTCTTCTGACAAAGACTTTGGACACATTTTAAGTAAAGTCTTTCTTAAAGTAGTAAAATGGTTCAAAGACTTAAGATACAGCATTAATTTGGGGATTTTATTGGTGTAAAGGTCATATTTATGCTGACCATCATTTGCTTCAACGCAACATTTTTGTCTTTAGCATCTTTCCTAGCCTGCTTGTTTTATCAAAAGCATCGCTACACTGTAGAAGGTATTGGAGACCTGTAATGGAAAATCTTAAAATAGAAATTTAAAAGTGCAAAAAAGCATTTTCTAAGACATTTGTTATTTGTTTAAAAAATACACTTCTTACATTTAACATTTGCCATATTTCTTTTTAGCTTTCCAAACAAGCAAAACCAAAACTAAAAGTGAAAGCTATTATGGAGCTCCAAAGTAGCTTGTAAACCTTAATTACCTAGATAAGAGTATACGCTACTCTGGGTGTATTTTTGTTGAATGTTTTTTTTTTCAGTTTGAGGAATAAAACACAGGAAGTATGTGTTTGCATGCTTTGCAGGGCCGGCTGCAGCAACACAGGTCTTAGTAACCTGGGGTACATTGTCATTTCCACTCAAAAAATAAAAATAATTTGATGCATTTCGATATGCAGTTTGGGTTTGTTACCAAGTGTTTTTGATCGTTTTAAATTTTGCAGATGGAAAACAAATCCATCCAACATTCCACTGAGTAGTGGAAATTCTTCTTGTACCATCAGAGTCACAGCTTCTCAATGGTAGAATCATTTTAGAGCTACTCTTTGTAACTCCAAATTATTCCTCACACAAAGATTTAAGTGAAGAAATTAAATCCACATATCCTAAACCTTTGTTCATTTGAGACGGTGAATACAAAACAATCTGAACATGCATCACTGCAGCTAAGTGCTTGGTTTGTCCATGCCTCTCATCATCCATCCTGCCATCACCTGTGAACACAAAAACAAGATTCTTTAGATTCTCCAACCTAAAAAGAGCAGTCCACATTTTTCCTGTTTAAAATCACAACTTTAGAAGCTGACTTTTGTTCTGCTATTGCTTCAAACTAATCTGAGAACCAATCCAGCGCATACTGAAGGTTAGGGCTTAAATATCTTAACAGTATATGATCTAAATAGGCAAAGATGAGACTGAGGTTCACAAACCATGCATCATCCTGCCATGACCATGCCTTAGAATGTACATGACAGAGGATGAGACAAGGAACAATTATGGTGGAGTCCAAAGCTCATCTAAGATAATTGTAATGCAGCCCTTAAAGGCATGAGAAGTTCTCAATACTTCTGCGGGACCCTCCACAAAATGCTCTAAAGTACAAAATTATAAATTGCCTTGATTTTCTCAAAACATGCATGGAGAAAACTTTTATCATGCAACTACATATGAATAAGGATATAATCTAAGGTTTGGTTAGAGTTTGAGCCTCTTTTCCAACAACCTGCAGTGAACTTTCCCATCAAAACTAATCTAAATATCACCGTCACGTCCCCCATCTTCAAAAACCTTTAGTTACTTTTATTTTGAACATTGATATTAGGCAAGTTTGTTTCCTGGTTACCAAACTTGAATACATCACGTTGTCATGGCATCTAATATTTGAGTGTTTCTGTAGCTAAAAAGATAAAGTCAGTTATAACTAAAATGACTAAGTACTTCTGCCCATAGTGGAACTGTGGGTCCCTGCCAGGTATATTTTTAGAAAACTTGTCATATTTTCTTTACCGTGGTGAATAGTAACAGTTTATTGTGCGTTGCCAGTGGAGAACTCTGTTTCAGATCAGATATCACTCACTCAGTGGTTTCTGTCGGCTCGTCTGTGCCACACATGCACTTTATTCAACTCTCTGTTTGTATGGCTTTTTTTTTTTTCCAGGAGCACCATATGTAACTTCTTTCAAATGTAGAACCCAAAGATGTGAGAAACCTACCCTAAAAAAATGGTTTAAGCTCCCGACCAACATTTTAATAAAACAGAAACCCCCTTTTAGTCTTATTCTGAGCCCTTCCAGTGAAGTTACACTGACTGGATTTGGTAATCTGGCTCCACTGTGACAGTGGGGGGGCTGCCAGGGGACCACAGCAAAAAGGAGAGCTTTGTTTTGCTGTTCAACGTCCTCCCTCCTCACTTCTCTCCTTGCATGTTTTTAAGCTCTGACTTGAAACCGGTCTTCTCATTAGCCTCCGACTGTTAGATTTAAAATTGCGCACACATGTTCTTTTGCTGTTTGGCCCCTTAAAAAAACTCTGCAGCTTAAAGGCCTTCATTTTAATATAAGCTGTGGGAGAAGATTGTTTTGTTTGGGGGATGAGGGGAATCTTTAATATCCACTGTCTAGACTACTGTGTCATCATATGCTTGATAAGCACAGAAATCTGTGCTTTCTATCCAATGTTAGGATTGGATTTGCTGCTTCTGGAGGAATAGCTGCCGAAAGTTTTGTAGATTCATGGGAATCTGAATCACACTGAGTCGGCCGACATGGGCGTCATTGAGGTTCGGTCACAATAGATTGGAGATGAAAGATGTCACTGAAGGCCTCTGTTCGATGCCTCCCTCTCAGCTCTGTCTTCTAAACTCTTTGTATCATTTCCAGCTCAGGAGGACCGAAAGAGGTCCTCTTTCATAATACCAGAGACTTTTGACATTATACCCACAGGAAAATTCATTCAGTGTGTGCTTTGCTTTAAAACAGCCATTGTAAATATTTGTGGGTTGTTTTATGGCCTTTGTTTAAATTCTCCTGACCTTTGATGATTACTGACTAAACCTACAGTCCTGAACATATTGTTATTTTTCTTTATTATGATACACAGTTGACGTCAGTTTTTATTATTCTGAGTGTCATGGCAATTATTCTGTTAGTAAATATTATGAAATGGTGCGTTAATCACCGGGGTGGATCTTTGTGACAGGACAACTGATTTCCTGTGGTTCAGTTAGATGGCCGTCCTGTTTTTGAATGTGCAGGTCACTGTGATCAGTCATTAACCAGAAATCTGAGAGACGTGCTTTATTTCTGTGAATGTGACTATAGTTTAACCAACTCTCTAAACCCATGGTTTGCTTTATTGCAGCACCTAGCTTTTTTTTTTCCTTTTTATCACAATTTTTTTTATTTACCTGGACTACATGATGTTTTTCTTGGATATTGGAATACCTCAGATTTTGCTGCACAGTTCGGTTCAATCAGGTGGTTTGTTTCAGAGAGAGCAGAGCCCCTGCTGTTTACTCTGCAAATACACCCCCTTACCAAACAGACACAAATACACACACATGTGTACACCTTAGCTCTGTTCTCTAGTAGTTATATATGACCTTATAGTGCTTTATAAATGTAATTTTACCATTAAACAAACTATGCTATCCATAATTCAGATGATGGCAGGTGTAATGCAGTTTCTAATTTTGCTTACCTTTATTAACCGGCACAACCTTATGTGCAGATATAACTTCTCTACTTTTTAAACATGAATTGAATGGATTTAAGATTTCCTTGAAAGCTGAGTTCATTCTAATCAACTACACCCTTGCCTGATTATTCTACATTTCATGGAATCATGGAAAAAAAAATAATTCTGCAAACATGAAGTAGGCTAAAATAAAGACCAATAAATTAACTATCCCAGAAGCATGCAAAATACTACAAGCCTTTAATTAATGGTACATTTATGATTCCACTCAAAGTAATCAACTGGACAAGAATGGCCTCCAGAAAATATTAAATATTAACTGTGACAGTATGGGTCTGATTTCCTTTTTATTGAGCTGGGTGACTTATCCTAATCGATTTAACCTATCATTTCTGTGACCTCTCAGCCATCAGGTTATGACCTCAAGCTAAAGTACACTTTGGTTATGCAGCAGGACAATGACCTGAATCCCACCAGTCAGTCCACCTGATAATAGTTTTAAAAAAAGGAACAAAACAAGACATTGGTGGGGCCTAAACAAAGACTGGACTTAAACGTAATTGAAAGACTGGCATAACCTTAAGCAGGCCATGCCACCAAGGGTGGCACAACTAGTTTTAAGGTTTAGTAAAAGGCAAGTTATTTTTACAAAGGGACAGATTTATTGTGACTGCTTCTTTACTTTTATTTAAATAAATCAACATTTGAGAACTACATTTTTAAATTACTTTAAGATATGTTTGACCTGAGACATTTAAGTGTGAGAAAGCAAAATGGAAGGAATCTGTAAGAGAATAAACACTTTTTAATATGCAATATATTAGACTTTATTGGTCTGTTTTTCTGTCAACTCTTTAATTCTGCCTTTTTTTCCCCCTACAAAGGTCAATGTACGCGTCACCACCATGGACGCTGAGCTGGAGTTTGCCATCCAGCCCAACACTACGGGCAAACAGCTGTTTGACCAGGTACAGTAAAGTGCATGTCAGGTTTCCTCCACTTTAAAGCAGTAACCTTTCTGGGTTTTTTTTGAGCAGGAAAAAAAGAGCAGACTTTGAAAAAAGTGTGTCAGTTTCAGACCAAAGCCTGTTTTCTCCAAATGTAGAAAAATAACAACCAAAAAAAAGAAAAAGTTTTGTATTTTTAAACGGTATAATTGTAAATATGCATGCACTATCCGCTTTGTGACAAATGCCACTTTTAAATAGTTAATAATTTAGTTTTAAAAAGGTTGAATTGAATTTTTGAGCTTTTTTGCGGCTAGCATATCTAGCCAATAAGTTACAAAACAGCAGACGTACCTCCATGGACATTCTTTGCTTAAATTTCCTCTTGCATTTATTTTAGAACACATTACATTGATAGATGAAGGGATTGCTTAAGCCTTTCTCACTAACTACACCAATTAAAAACTTCTAATTGATCCCAATATTAACTAAATTTATGCGTTACGCCATGATGCATTCTCGGACATCTTAAAAGTCTTTTTGTTTAAAACTCATCCGCTTCTTCTTAACAGCTGTACAACCAATTCATCCTTATTGAAAATAAAAGGAGTTTTATCACCATTTTCTATGGGAGCCCTTTGGTCATTCATTACGAAAAATGTTAACTATTGAGAAATAGGAATTTCAGAGTTAATTTTACCCCCATTTCACTATTTTATACCTGCAACTTGGAGATCGATAGTTACAGATTTTTATGGCTGATGCAGACAAAGATCATTTTGACAAGAGTCTCCCTGATCCTCAATATGTCGACGTTTGTTTTTATTTATTTAATATTTTTCTTGGGTTAAATCTTTTAATAACTAAAGTTAATAAATAATTTATTAACTTGCAAACAAAGCATTAACGGTGGATAGCAAGTGGAAGGAGGAGCAATGGATGCACGGCATGGCTGCTGAATGCACTAATGATTGGTGAACAGATACCTGCTGATAAGAAAAAACTTCTATAGTGGCCAAAAAATATTGACCGGCTGATGTATCGGTCCACCTCTGCTGTTGCATGTCAGTTGAATTAATTTCAATCGTTTTTAAATACATTTTAGAGTTGAAAGAGGGAAAGAAGTTTATGAATTCAATACTAATTTTACAATTGTTTTAAGATTTAATTAGAATTTATTAAATGTGTGTATTTACAACTAGTAGTCAGAATGACCATTAATGAAATTTGATTAAACTAAAATAACTCCAAATGGTTTCTCTGTGGTATATGTTGCATAACCACATTTCCTTACAGCAGACTTGTTCTTTACACCTCTGCTTAGAGAAGACCAAATTAAAACGGGTTTAGAATGGCACCTGAATAACTGAAAAAAATTCTTTATGATTTTACGAATTTTTGTTAGATTCAGACAGCTAGATTTAGAAAGTCCTTATTCACTGCCTCTTTTTCTCACTTTAGTCCTGTTTAAAGTTGCAAATAAGGCCTCTATAGAAGCTTCAGGAGTTTTATTATAAAATGTAAGGTGTGGTTTGGTGAAGGAAACATTTTTTTCAATTAACAATGCTGTGAAAAGTATTTAGAATTACTTCATTGCTATTAATGGTGACAATAACAATCATTTTCCTTTCATGGAGGGTTTCTATTGCAAAACTCAGCCGTGTCCATAAAGTAGATGGAGAGCTATCAGTATGCTCTCCTCTATGCCTTCATGACAGCACTAGAGCAGGAAAAGCATTGTTTCAGCCACTTCCTGTTAAACCCGTTTTTCCGTAGCAAGTGTAGCAACTGTGACTGCCAGTTAGGGGATTCTCCCATCATCTCAGCTGTGCATAAAAACACAGGTCAAAGTTTCTTTTTTTCTTTTTTAACACATGAGAAACTAATTTCAGCTCCTGCTGATCTTTCCTCACCTACATGTGGGAATTGCCATTAAGGCGTTATTCCACTGCTCCCTCATTACAATGTCAGGGATAGTTAAGAGCTCAAAAATCAATCCACTTCAAGAGGAGAAACAGCCTGAGAAGGTTTTCTACGACTTCTAGCCTAAGGTCTCCAGCCAGACATGTTCTGTTCATCAGACAGGTTCTGTGGGAACGTTGAATAACAGCAGTGAGCTCATTCTCAGGGCAACTTAGAAAGTCTGGTGTGGCCCCTGTGGTCAGTGCTGATCACAGCTTTAGTCCCTGTCATTCAGGTCTTAAAGAGAAACATCTGCCACTCCCCTACACACCCTGCTGCAGTTTCACTTCCATGTGACTCTGTGCTGATGCATCTTTCAATGTTTGTTGAGCAACCACCTCAAAAGATAAAGCTGAAAAGAAATGGTTTCAGTTTAATTTATGTACTTGTCAGCTAAAAGCATGGCATCATTTAAAGATTTTTACAGTGTTTGTTTAGTTTTTTTTCTACAAATAAATAGATTTGTACAGATACATTGGTTAAAATACAATGTTTTAAAAAGTGTGGTTAATTTTGCTCTTCACGTCGATGACATCACTAGAGCTAATTAAGCAGGAAAGAAAAAAACTATCTTTACATATTTATACATATATTTAGGTTGAATTTCCTTTCTGGTTCCCTTCAAAAACTGTATCCCTGGTCACAGATCTTCCTGAAATATATATATTTTTGTTGTGCTGCTGCAATGCCGAATGCAAGAAGCATATTTAGGAGAATAACTGCATAAAATGATTCTCTTTAATCAGGTTGATTGAGGTGAGCCTGCTGATGTCACCAGAGGCGTACGTGTGTGAAAGTCTGGTTTTGCGAACTTTAGATTTGATACAACCTTACAATAAAGTAACAAAACAGTAAGAAACTGTTGATGACATGTTGTGCAGTAGGTGATGAAATGTAAATTGAATTTTACAAAAATAAGTCTTCCAAGCAGCTTTAGAAGGTTCAAACGATGAAACAAATGTAGTTTGGTTTCAAGGTGTCCGATGCAAAATGTAAAACAAATTCAAACAGACAACAGAGTCCTATGTCTGGTTAACATTCAAAGTTTCCAGTGAAGTTGTTTTAAATAACATAGGGAAAAGTTTGCTGCTATGTTGCCCAGTACAGTTCTGCTGTTAACACGTTCAGTTCTCATTACTTCATCTTTATTAACTCGCCTCTTGTAACCTTAATAAAAACAAACTGCTCCACCTCTGTTCCTTACCTCAAAGTGCTTTCTTTCATCATTGTGCTTTTTGTCGCTGTTCAGCAGCCTGACTTGGTGAACCCCACCCTTCCCCTTCAGTAGCTTGACTTTAGGTTATTTGCTTCAAAGGACGCAGCTAGTAATGCTATTGGAGTCCAGAAACAGTCCTTTTTTTGTCTTTGTCCCTAAATCTCATAAGTAAGAGAGGAGTGTGTCTAAGTCCATGAGTGATAAGTGAATGACTGGTCTATGCCAACTTTTTGCTATTGCAGGGTACAACTTTCCATGTCTGAGGTACAGTTGCTTGAAGAAGGCTTTGCTTCTTTAATCTAACCCCTAAAGTTTTACTTTTTCTTAAACTACAACTACAGCAACCATTTCAACTCTGGAATATCACCTTTTATATTTAGATAGAATTTCTAAAGGGCAGATTATCCTAAAACAAATAATCGGATTAATCGTGATTGACCGAATACTCAAATAATCGACAACTAATTTAGGAATCGATTCATTGTTTACTGGAGAATACAGAATCTAAAAAAAGGCCTTTGGCTGACAGAGCATTGGCGAATTATACCAAAATTGTGAAAAGAAAATGTAAACATTTTGCATTTAAAATAAAAATCTTTTTCGTCTGTCAGCATACTGTAACCAGTACTAATCAAGTGGAAAAGTTTAAGTTCTACCTGGTCTAATTTTGCAAAAAGTCTTCTTTAAGAAACCTTTGGCTATCCAATAATTTATAGATTATTTGAAAAAATAATCGACTGATTAATCGATTTGCTAAATAATCATTAGTTGCAAATTTAATCCTCAGATTAGCAATATAAATGCCTGCTTTTAAAAGAAGGGGCCCCAACTAATCTGGGTTATGATTGAATCTAACCTCTGTAGAAATATACGGTATAAAACATTTTTTTGGTATCTCTGTGGTTGCCATTTTGGTGCAATCTTCCCTAATGCCATTAACAACTTTTCCAGCCAAACACAAGCTATTGGACATAAACTAGATTCTTCAGTTAACCTATGATACCCCCCATCTCAAAAACAAACTAAAACCGTTTTACTTCTGGTTTTAAAATGACTTAAACTGACATGGTGTAGATTTATAAAGCTAGATTATGGTCTTTTAAGCACTCCAGTGCTTTAGCTACTGATGCTCATATAACAAACCAGTGATGTTATTTTTCACAGATGAGTGGGAGCTGTTTTCTCAGTGGTCTCCATGATGAAAAAAATCCAGAATGAACAGTCTCACTGATACAGGCCTTCAGGGAGACTTCAGAATTTCTGAGATTTTGAAACCTAAACATTTACAACTCTGAAGAGACCTGGCTCAGACTGTTATCAGATCCACAGTTACTTTAAGTTTTTGATCTCCCATAAAGGTTGAGTATCAATTGTCATGTCTCTAAGCCTTATCTGATTATTAAAAATTTTCAGAAGGTACTTTGCTGTTTGAACCAATGGAATTAGGGTTGGTTGGTTGTATAATGAGACCATTTGGAAAAATGTAAATGGAAAGATGATTAAAAAATTGTGTTTTATGCTTTGTTTCCGTTTCCTATTTGACATTCTCAAATAGCCTTTTTTTATGGATCTTTTCACTGTTTGACCCCTAATTTGGAATACATTTTTTAATATGCAATATTATGATTTAGATCAACTTAATCATATTTGTCAGTTTCTTTGATTGATAGGTCTTAAATGGGTTATAATTTGTGCAATTCACCCAAATAATGCTATCAAGCCCATCAAATAGGTTTCAGGATTACATTAAATGCTATTTTTGTACCATAGCACCAAATTCAGGTTTTATAATTAAGATTGATTGTAATTTTCTGAAATGTTTAAAATGATCTGCTATGAGGTTTAACCTGTATGGAAACAGCTTAAGCTGGACAGGTTACTAGAGCCCTGAAATACTAGTTACTTCCAGAAAGGAGACATTCAATTTGGCTTCTGAATCTTAAACAGTCAAGGCAACTTGATAAATCAACTCTAAATTTATATAATAATTGACAATCAGTGGGTTTAGTTTTTAACCCTAAACCTACCAGAGGGTTTAATCAAGGTTTTTAATGTAAATTAGAAACCAGATGGCCCATATCTGTGTGGTAACAAACTGTTCCTCCGTCTCATTCAGTGAGCGTGAAGTAAAGAACAACAAAGGACTTCTTGTTTCTGAGCGTCTCTTGTTTCAGGCATCTTCCTGATGTTGCATTAAGTAAAATCCATTAGGTGCTGCCTGAACCTGAGACTTTTGTCTCTTTAGTCCTACACAAGCTGTGTGGGAGCTTTAGATTTTTATTTTATTTTACCTTTCCATGAGCTTATCCTTGGAAACAGGATAAGCAGGAATACTAACAAGTTTACTTGAACTTCACCCAGACAACTTAGCCACCTTTCCTGGTGACTTGCTCGGGATTTCTGGCAGAGATTAACTCAGAGGGCGCAGCAGCCAGTCCGCTGACTAATAACGGATGTATTAATCATAATAGATGTATAGAAGGAAAAAGAAAAAGATTCTGCTGTCTGGTGTAGGATAACTTCTGTGCTGGCTGTAAAGACAGACTCTGGTTTTTCTCAGAAGCCTGTGGAAAATTCTAACTTCTCCTGGAGTGATTATTCCAGACCTGCGACTATCTTTCCACTCAGCAGCAGAACCAAAGTCCTGTTGTTAAGGAAAAAATGTTTAAACTGCTGATCTCCAAGTATTCCATGTGGTTTTTCTTTTAAATTTTGTCATAAGCTTAAAAATCCACCTAATGATTAGAGGAAGCTGCCATTATATTTTTTAATGCGGACGCAGACACACCCCTGCTCTCTCTGCCATGGTCTATGTGCGTCTGTAGTTGGAGCACTAAATGTCAGTCATGCAGCACATCTTGGCCATACAGCATCATGGTTTTGGTCGAAGCGTAAAAAACAGCAAATATTTTGGAGGCTTCAAAACAGAAAAGTAAATGAATGCAAGAAATTAAATTTGATTTAAGGAGGTGATAAACATAATGGATTAGTATCCTTAATTTTTCAAATTTTAAACAGCTATTATGACTATAAGGGGCTTTTCTGTTTTCAACAACCTTAGTTTTACCACTATAACTATGTAGCTTGAAGCAACTTTTCAAAGCATTCTAGGTTTCTTTTTGGATTAAATGATCAGGCTCGTTAAACCTTCTAATGAGAAAAAACCGCCATACATGGCTGACAATGGAAAAAAATGGACATCAGGGATGGTAGTAGCAGTTAAACAAAACATTGGCTGTGTCCGAATGTCCGCCCTAATCACTATATAGGGCACTATACAGTGATTAGGCCATTTTTATTTTTGTTTTGTTTTTTACACCATTTTAAATTGGTGTCAGAACGTCGAGTGGATGAAAAAGTAGTGGACTCGAAATTTCCCACAATGCACCTTGAAAAGTAGTGATCATCCATGGTCACTAGACTAGCAGATATATCCCAGAATCAAGGGATTTGCTGTCAGCTGCCGACAGCGGCGACCAATAACAAAGATGATGCAGTCACTACGCAGTGAAGTTGAAAATACGTGACCAACGGGGAGCGAAAAGTAGTGATCATCTGCCCGAACCGTCAGTTAACTGAGGTCCCTATAAAGTCCACTATATAGTCCCCCCTCTATATGTTGATTGAGGGATCTATGGGTTAGGCTGGATGTTTGGACAAAGCAATTTAGTTTTTTTGGTTTGTTTTTTTATTTCTTTTTTTAATTGAAAGACTGTGGATGGGTTTAGATAGACGTCTGGATTAGATACGCTAAGTATTAGATGCCTGGAATTTTATTCTTATTTCTACCAAAACGATTTTCTTGGTGTCTGATTAGATACTATTTAGATCTTATGCTTGAAGCTTAAACACAGTCTGTTGACTTTTTGCTTTAATTGTAATCTTAGAGGGTGTTGTCTTTATTTCATGCTAAAATTGTCAAGGGGAAAAACTGCTGCATCTTTAGTTACAATCTCTTCCTGTTGTGAGTGTTTGTCATGTCATCACGTAATGTTTCCCTGAATCATAACGTGTCTTCATAAAGTCACTTCATAATGAAAAACACTTAAGCTCTCTCAAAACATCACTTTTAAGCCATGTCACCAAACAATCCATCTCAGTTTTTAAAGGAAATGTATTTATTTAAAATTAAATAATCTATATTTTTTGGAAGCTTGCATGTTTTTATAGTTGTTTATGCTCAGCTGCAATATTTTACTTCTGACAAAGGAAGGCCTTTTTGTTTCATTTATATTTTTACATAATCCAGTTTTACAACCAAGCAATCATTTATTCTTGATCATTTTAAAACAATTACTAAATGAAAAAGTTTAATTCTAACCAGGTTTACTTTTTAAGAAAGTGTATAATTAAAAATAAATTAAAAAATGAAACAAATAAGCACTCTTATTTTGAATCCACCATCTGTAAATATTAATTTTAATATCTATTTTTTATTACTTAGGTGGTAAAGACCATTGGCGTTCGGGAAATCTGGTACTTCGGACTGCAGTATGTGGACACCAAGGGTTTCCCTAACTGGCTAAGGCTAGAAAAAAAGGTAAGCATCTGCTAAAGCTAAAAAAAAAAAAAGTGACCATTTTTTCTGGTTTCAGGTATGTAGTGAACCATGACTCATTATTGATATTTCATGATTTTATTGTGGTATTTGCAGATAACTACTTCCTGGGTAAATTTTGCCCGGCAGCTTTTGCAAGCCTGTGATCTTATGAAACACTGTTTTAGGTGTGCAATCGGATCTCTGCTGCATGCCTTTTAGTCAATCAGTAGCCACCGTGCTGCTATATGTCTATGTCCACATATATGGTCCACGGCAGCACCTTTTCAGTCGTTTCCTGACTCTGTTATCAGCTGGAGGTAAATTATTTGAACTCATTGTGAACCATCGTAGCAGCCTCCATTTCCTTTATGCGTCCCTATAGTAAACAGGCGTTACCTAGACTACAACAGGTGTTTTTCCTGAGATATGGATAATCTGACCTAACAAAAGGGAATTCGGCCACAGATTAAGTCATGTCTGCAAACCAGCAGAGACAGTCGACGGCACGGCTTACATATCATTAGTCTCTTTTTTGAAGCTGAATAGACCAAATACTGTTTTAGAGATAATCTGCTAAAGAATAATTCTGTTGTATTTATAATCAGATGGTAAATATTTGTGTAAAGAATCCATATTAAGTTTGAGTTTGCAAATTTCTGTTTAAATTTTACTGAATTGCTTTACTGCTCAAAAGATTTTGATTAATAACTTTAACTGTTCCCACTGACACGCGTTAGAAACCATGCTAAAGGCTGTTGCCAAGTTTAGAAGTGGCCTCTCTGCATTTTACTATCAAAAACAAGGGTCACTGAGAGACGCATAGAAAAAAAGAAAGGGTTGTGTTTGCATCAGTCAGCAGCAGGAAGCTGTTCCCTGGGCGCTAACTGGGCGCCGCAGCTCATCAGCACAATGCAAAGTTCAAACTGGAACATTCCTGGTTTCATTCTATCAATCAAGAATGCGTGGTTCCTATTTTGTATTCAGAGAAAATTAGATGTTGTAAAAAAGCATACTGCTGCCAGCAGATATTAAAGTAAAATTCTACATGCAGTGCTTCATTAGTTTCTGCACTGAATACGTTGGTTTTCAACTTTAACTGGTAAAGTTGCTTGCAAAAAAGAAACAAGTGCCTGTAAACATTTTATTTTTCTTAGTCTTTACAACAATTACCCAATGGACTTTAATCTGGTATTATGCAGAAATCTTTTTTTAAAAATTATTATTATTTTTATTTTAAGCATTCCCATTGGGTGTTGGTACCAATACTGCCTGGTTTCTTAGGGTCATCTGAAGTGTTTTTGAATTACTGTTCAGAGTTTTATAAGTATGCCAGGAGGTTTAATTTTGGCGTCTGATTGCTGTGTCCCCGGTGTCCAATTACAGACTATAAATGGGATTTTCTTGTGGCCTTTTATGGCTAACACTGTCGTTTTAATCTCCTCCAGGTGTCATCTCAAGATGTGAAGAAAGACAACCCGCTACAGTTCAAGTTTCGTGCCAAGTTCTTCCCGGAGGACGTTTCCGAGGAGCTGATTCAGGAAATCACCCAGAAGCTCTTCTTCCTGCAGGTGAAAGAAGGGATCCTCGGTGACGAGATCTACTGTCCTCCTGAGACGGCAGTGCTGCTGGCCTCCTATGCAGTTCAGGCCAAGTTTGGCGATTATGACAAAGAAATCCACCGGCCTGGATACCTTGTCAATGAACGCATGCTGCCCCAGAGGTAAGATGTACATCCGTTGAAGTAGGGATTGTTTAATAGGTTTTTAGGTCAGGGATGTGCGGCCAAAACTAAAGCTTTCTTTTAAGAACTAAGTAACGGCATTTACGTAATTTTTCTTTTTTAAATTCTTTCTCCCATGAATGATCTGTTGTATTGGGTAGGAAAGCTGATGATAACAGATTTGATATATTAAAAAACTTTTATTTCTTAGATCAGCCTATTTTAAATTCCATCTAGCTTTCAAGCGTTTTTACAAAAATAGTTGGGTTGTACATGAATTGTTGTCATGGTTTGATATGTTTTTTTATGGCTCCAATTACTTATGATGGTGCTCATATATTTTATGATAAAGTGTTTTATTCTGTATAAGAGGATGGTTTCTGCAAACAACTATTACTACTGGTTTTTAAAGACAGAATGGTTTTGAGCTGCTACATCTTTTGTGCATTTGAATTGGTCATTGGCAAACATTTTGTTCTTGTTTTTGTCTGCACCTTAACTAGTAAATTTAATGTTTATAAAGGGAAAAAAAAGACACTATTAATTAAATACAAGAACTTAAAACACAAATTGGTCAACAGTATTTCTGGTTATGCTGTGTAGAAAAGCATTGCTGTTGTTTGTTTCATATTCATTCTTTTATTCTATGTCTTTAGAGTCATGGAGCAACACAAGTTATCCAAAGAACAGTGGGAGGAACGTATTCAGGTGTGGCACGAGGAGCACTCTGGGATGCTGAGGTGGGTTAATAAACTCGTAGCTTTTGCAGAGAACTTGAAGCTCTGCTGTCAGAACCGCGATGGTTGATTATCTCTTTCGTTTCCTGATGGTCTTTCAGAGAAGACGGCATGATGGAGTACCTAAAGATATCTCAGGATCTGGAAATGTATGGAATGAATTACTTTGACATCAAGAATAAGAAGGGGACAGAGCTGAGGCTGGGAGTTGATGCACTGGGTCTAAACATTTATGAGAAGGATGACAGGTAAGCTCTTTATAAAATATTGGAGTAATTCAGACAAAGCTGTACTTTTGGAGGATCCTCTGTATTCTGACCCAGAGCTCTTTTTAACAAAGCCAAACTTACAGGCTCAGTCTATTATGGCACCAATAAATTAAATCTAATCTCTGGTTTTTCATTGAAAATAATTTTAGATTACAATTAATCTCTGAGGAAAAAAAAGACATAGAAGATCATAAATAAATGACTAGTGTCATATCATCGAAAATACTTTTCTTACATCACTGTGCTTCCTCTGGATTAAAGCTACAGTGTGTAATAATTACAGGGATATACAGTCAGAAATGTAATATATTATACATAACTATGTTATTTTATCATCATCTACGAGCTCAGCCTCTTAACCTTAATATTTGCGTTACCTTAGAATTCGTTATTTATAATTACATAGGAGCGGGTCATGCAGCCATGGAGGCAGACATCTTTGCGCTACGGCAGCGCAGAGCCAACAAACTAGTGATTGCGAGATCGCCAAAATGTCACAACCATGTAGAAAAAATAATGGGTATATTTATTATCTTAAGTCTACATGAAATCTATACCCTACACAGACTAATGAAATACTATCTGTAAAATTATCTATGTAAACAAACCTCATTACTTGTGAAGGTAGGTGATGCGGACGTCGTGGAAGACATTTTGTCCCGTAACGCTCGCCGTACTGTTGGGGGGGAGAAGCGGTGGGGGGGAGATGATCGTGTTGCTGCAGTCTGCAGTCTGAGCGCTAGATGTCGCTAAAAGTTACACACTGTAGCTTTAAGTGAAAAACACCTCTAGGTGTGTTTATATGGACAGAAGTATTTAGAATGAGGCTACGTTCAAACTGCAGGCCTTAATGCTCAATTCTCATTATTTTTTTTTTTGTTAAAGCTGATTGTTGTGTTTGGTCGTTCACATTTCCAAATACACTATATTGCCAAAAGTATTTGCTCACCCATCCAAATTATTGGAATCAGGTGTTCCAATCACTTCCATGGCCACAGGTGTATAAATTCAAGCACCTAGGCATGCAGACTGTTTTTACAAACATTTGTGAAAGAATGGGTCGCTCTCAGGAGCTCAGTGAATTCCAGCGTGGAACTGTGATAGGATGCCACCTGTGCAACAAATCCAGTCGTGAAATTTCCTCGCTCCTAAATATTCCACAGTCAACTGTCAGCTGTATTATAAGAAAATGGAAGTGTTTGGGAACGACAGCAACTCAGCCACGAAGTGGTAGGCCACGTAAACTGACGGAGCGGGGTCAGCGGATGCTGACGCGCATAGTGCGAAGAGGTCGCCAACTTTCTGCAGAGTCAATCACTACAGACCTCCAAACTTCATGTGGCCTTCAGATTAGCTCAAGAACAGTGCGCAGAGAGCTTCATGGAATGGGTTTCCATGGTCGAGCAGCTGCATCCAAGCCATACATCACCAAGTGCAATGCAAAGCGTCGGATGCGGTGGTGTAAAGCACGCCGCCACTGGACTCTAGAGCAGTGGAGACGCGTTCTCTGGAGTGACGAATCGCGCTTCTCCATCTGGCAATCTGATGGACGGGTCTGGGTTTGGCGGTTGCCAGGAGAACGGTACTTGTCTGACTGCATTGTGCCAAGTGTAAAGTTTGGTGGAGGGGGGATTATGGTGTGAGGTTGTTTTTCAGGAGCTGGGCTTGGCCCCTTAGTTCCAGTGAAAGGAACTCTGAATGCTTCAGCATACCAAGACATTTTGGACAATTCCATGCTCCCAACTTTGTGGGAACAGTTTGGAGCTGGCCCCTTCCTCTTCCAACATGACTGTGCACCAGTGCACAAAGCAAGGTCCATAAAGACATGGATGACAGAGTCTGGTGTGGATGAACTTGACTGGCCTGCACAGAGTCCTGACCTCATCCCGATAGAACACCTTTGGGATGAATTAGAGCGGAGACTGAGAGCCAGGCCTTCTCGTCCAACATCAGTGTGCGACCTCACAAATGCGCTTCTGGAAGAATGGTCAAAAATTCCCATAAACACACTCCTAAACCTTGTGGACAGCCTTCCCAGAAGAGTTGAAGCTGTTCTAGCTGCAAAGGGTGGACCGACGTCATATTGAACCCTATGGATTAGGAACGGGATGTCACTTAAGCTCATATGTGAGTCAAGGCAGGTGAGCAAATACTTTTGGCAATATAGTGTATATACGACTTGTATGTGATCTCCTGTTTGAATTGCATTCATACATTTGAAGTGTCCCGCATGCGTAGTTGAGGGTGCAATGACATCACAAGCAGCGAGCAAGCTCTGTGTCTATGGAAATAAACATGGATGGTAGTGCTGGAGTGCATTTATCCATCTTTCAGTTCTTTTCCAACTGGAGCAAGCAAATTAAATGATGCAATCTTTTTAAGATGGTCAAAAAGAAAGACCGCTCTTCGCATTATCTTCATCCATAGTTTTTTTGTTTCCAGCCGCTTCGGCATAGCAAGATTCAGAATAGGGAGATTTGTCGAGTATTAATGACGTACAGGTCGGATGCATAGCTGTTCAGACACAGGTCACATATGATAAGATCAGCTTTATATCGGATTTAGGACTGTGTAGCCAAGCGGTTTTGGTTTCATTGGAAAAAAATCAGATCTGTGTTGCTCAGACTGTGATTAAAAATCAGATACAGTTCGCATATTGGCAAAAAATAAAAAAGTTTTGGGTCACTTCAGGCTGCTGTGTGAACGTAGCCTAAAGGGATGAATGGAAGAAAAATAGATTGGCAAAATCTTTTAATATGTGAATCAGAACTTTGTTAAAATGAAACAATTTAGCATAACTTTCGATATTTTGTATTTAGTGGAATAATCAACTTCCTGTCAGTAACTTTTTAGATCAAAACTTATAGTTTACGTCCACTCATTTCTCATAACTATGGATCCTCAAACCACAGATGCATATATTATAACTGACATCATTAGAAAAGAATTCTAAGATATTTGTAAATATTGTTTATAAAGCTCATCCTTAAAGCGACCCATACTTTGAAACCAAGAAATGCCAGAAGATGCTTGATAACCATGCATGGATTAACCATCTATATTGTCGCTGATGTTTTTATCTGTGGTGATGATCAATCAAGAGGAGTCTTACACCTGTTTGCTCTTTCAGTTTCACATTATATCATCACTATTTTTTGTATTTTTATAGGGATGAACTTCTTCTTGTAAATGATTTCCAAGGAGTTATTAGTTATTACAGTTATTAAATCAGTGTAAGGCTGGTTAATCTGAGCCTTAATTATGCAGCCGTAGCTTTAATTAGATCAAGCAGCAATTTTTTCCCCCATCATGCTCCTCCTAGGTGTTTGTCATTATTTTGACATGACTCAGTCCTCGCTCTTCCCACTTAAAATGCTAAGATAGACTTGCTAAACCAGGTTCACATCTTTTATCAGTCACTACTTACTTTTCCTGTTTAAGAGAGTGAGAAATGCAAATGTTCCTGTTCTGTTTCATCTCTGAAAGGGTTGTGGTTTGTCCTCAAAGCAGAACCTCCATGCTTAGATCTATAACAGATCACCACTTCCATCCCAGATGGGTTTGCTTTTGATGTGCAGCTTATTTACAGAGTGGTACAGTGTGGGAGATAATCAACCACTCTACTTGGTGAACTAAATTCAGAGAACTCCTGTAGCCTGTCATCTGTGGGATTAGTGGAGTAAAGTGCAGCGTGTTCAAGGGGCTCTTCATCCCAGGTCACTTGCCTTTAAGTCACTGACCTTTTTGCTGCCAGCTCTACTTTGCCTCTGTGTGAGTTCTCTGACCTGCCTGCTGTGAAAGAGAAGAAAGTAGCCCATTTTTTGGTAATGAGAAGGTGAAGCTGCTCAGCTCAGGCATGAAGCTAATTTTAATTTAGGGCTGTACTACTACTGTATTTAGGTGGATCCAGTCTTTAATTTAGTGCAAATTTGGTAAAACATTCAGAACCTAACGAGACCTTGTGTGGGTTTATTTCTGATTAGTACAGAAAGGCCTCTCCTCTCTGCTGCCCTCAGCTGTAACCATGCCTACACCGACTGGTTTTTCAAGCTTTGTGGCACTTAAGAATGTGAGCCTAAACTAAGGCACAGTCTCTCCCAATGCAACAGTGCAGCTGAGGCTTCACGGAGGAGCAGCATTGGGCAGGTTAACCTCCCTATGGTACGAGGTTTACATAAAACCTCACTGCTTAAGAAAGTACAACCTGCAGGAAATCACTTATTTAGAACACACAATTTTATATCATTTGAGTAAATTTCCCAGTTTTAAAATAATGGGTTAGATTTAAAAGTCAGCACAAATGTTTAAGTAAAAATAGTTTATTTGATAAGCAAAAAATACAGAAACATTGTAACTAGATTATCTTCCTCATTGGTCAAAACGATGATTCTTTTTCCTTTTTAGAAATGTTTAACCTCTTACACCCTAAGGGGGTATAAATCAATTTCTGCCTGACAAAAACACACAGGAGTAAATAACTTATAGCCTCAAAGCTATTAGATTTAAGAAGAAACTTTTGGTACGTCTGTAAAGGTAAGATGTCATAGAATGGTTTTCTGGTGTCAGCACCATTGTAGCTTTGACCCTGCCTGAAATATTAGGGACAAAATACAAAATATTTTGCATTTTTTGAACCTTGCCAAAATTTTCTTTGAAATAAACATTGCAAAACACTACCAAAATATTATTTATAGCACAAAAAAGTAGTACAGACTTTCAAATCTAAATGTTGTGTAAAAATATACCAAATTTGGACTCAATCAGATGAATCATATTTATTTTAGAATGGTATTAGTGAGAAATTTCTTAGGCGGAGAGGCCATTTTGGCACATTTATCCATAAATGTCACCAAACTGTGCCAAATATGTTTTTTACATCAATACTGGGGGTTTGGTAAAATTACGAGGTCATGTAGCAGCTGGACCCGCCGGTGGGTCCGTAGGGTTCAAGGGGCTAACAAAAGTAAAAGAACAATCCACTGCACTTTGTTACCAAGTTTGAAGACGTTTTGCTTCCTATCCAGGAAGTTTTTTTAATAAAAAAAAAAATTAAAAAAGGCAAAAGTGTGATAACAATGAACAGTAACAAGTGGGGGAGGGACTTTGTAGTCCATTGTTTTTTAAACGTGTTTTTGTTCCCTGATTGCAATCTGTTAAACTACTTTGGATATATCTTCTCTGCAGCAAGTAAAGTAGGGCAGAAAGGGAATTGCCTTAAAACTAAATAATTAACAGATTGTTTTACAAAGTTTATGGTTCTAAAGCTAATGTACTGTCAATCAAAACTGTGCGGGATGGTGTAGTTAAAATTGATTATAAATTAACTTTGTAGATCCTGACTTTTATGCAGTTTTTAAAAATCCACAAATAGAATATATAAAAGTTTTACAGCATTTAAAAACAAAACACTTAAAACACATTAAATTAACTTCCCAGTCAGGACGTTTTTCATTTAACCAAATCTCTACGATGGGTGTACTCTGAGTGATTCGACTCAGAAGTGCCTTGGGCTGTGTGCTGGCCCCATTCAAACTTAAATTCCTGATTGTTCAACAGTACTGGAGGTTTTATTAGTTTTTAGATTTTTTACTCTGACAAACAACCATACAGACATTAGCCCAAACCTAAAGACAATTAAGAGAAGCCTATTAACCTATCAGTCATGTTTTTGGACTGTGGGAGGAAGCTGGAGTGGGTTCCACGCATAAGGGAGAACATGCAAACTCCATGCAGAAAAACCTGGAATCAAACATAGAACCTTCTTGCTTCTAGGCAACAGGGCTACCCGCTGTACCACTGTGCAGCCTGCAAAAAAAGTAAATAAAAAAAAAAAACCCTGCACCTTAGGTTTTAAACTACTGCAGGAAATTTGATCTGATTTAAATGAATTTAAATTGTATTAAGTTAACTATTGGAATACTTGTCATTTTGAAACTGTAGCTTTAAAACCTCTCTTAACTTCGTAACTGTAACCACATAGCATTTTCATAGATGGAAAAAGCAAAAAAAATTGCATTTATTTTTTCTTATAATTTCTGAGAACAGTTTAGGTGTAGTTTTATTTCTGTAGCATTAAGATAATCCATCCGAACACTCAAGTTTCTTTGTCATGCTGGTATTTTGTCACTCAATACTCCTTCCTCCAGAATAACTGTTTATCTAAAGAATGCTGGTATTTCACTCATTCAGAAGTGTAGATTAATGGAACCTTTTTTTCCCCTCCTTTTACAAATGACAGGTTTGTTTTAACACCTGCTAATTGATGAAACGGATTTAATAAATCATACGGGTGTGATGGAAATATTCAGCAGATAGAAGCACATTGTTTTCTCATTCCACGAGCATGTGTCAGTGTCAGCAATGGAGTGAAATTCCAGTTAAGGGAGTTTCATGGCAGCAGTTTCGCTGCTTGTTCAGCAGTTGCTTTACAGATTACAGTACTGCTGCTTCGGGGCTGTTGACGGTCCTGCTCTGCATTGTGTAGAGTGAGACTGGCAGCGGTTCAGTTTGTCTGGCACCACAGAGGGGTGAGACATCACCCTGGATTTATCCTTTCATCAGGTTTATGGTTCGTCTGGTTGAACAATTAAACTCACAATGCTGTTTATAGATGTGGACAGAATTTGATTCTTGGGTGATAATGCAACACTTCTTGGTTTATCTTAGTAATGAGCTGATGAGTACTTCTGATAGTGGCGTCTCCCATTCATAAAATTTAAAAGACTGCCTTTGTGGTGTTTAAGCCAGGCTCAAATAGAGTTAAGGCGCCCAGAGTTTACCGAGCAGGTTTCCCCTACAACAATATATGATCACCACTATTAACCTGAATCATTAAAGGGAGTATGAAATCATGCTTTCAACAAATTTTAAAATACACCTGAATACTGTAACCAGATTTAGATTTGCCCATACAGTGTAGAAAGACTGCAGCCTTTTCTCTAAAACTGATGTTAAATTTGACTAAAAACCTGCGGTTTGGGGTCAGTTAATTTTGCAAAAAGTATTGATTTCTTCAAAAAGGCATTTTTTTATACCTTTTAAACAATCAAAAAATGTAAAACTATGTGAAAGAAAAAATCCTCTGATTGAATTAATTCAGTTCTGTTCTCCACTGAAGTTTTTCCACCGAACTTTCCTACTTTATAGTATAATACCATTCATATTTATGACCTCCATAGGCTATATATAGGGTTTTTTTTCTTTATGGTTTTCTTACTCTTGAATAAAGTGGACAACATTTTAAACAGGACAACAGAATCATCAGAATTTATTTTGACAAGCAGTTAAACATAGTTATAATCATTTAGGAGTATATTAATATGATTTTACCAGATGATAAAGTGTGAATCCCATGTTTATTCATTGGTTGGTAATATACGTGTGCTCTCCCCTTCAGACTGACGCCAAAGATTGGCTTCCCATGGAGTGAGATTAGAAATATTTCCTTCAACGACAAGAAGTTCATCATCAAGCCTATCGACAAAAAATCTCCAGTAAGTGAAACCTCATAAATATACTTTTATCCCTTAAACTGTATTCATTTTTAATTGCTTCAACTTCACGATATCCGTTCTGATTTCATCTGGAAAGATGTCTGTAGATTTGTATTAAACAGTGATCAATAACTAATATTTCATGGTTGCAGGCAGATTTCTTTACAGATTGTCTTTTTATTTAGATATTAGACTCAGATATTAATATTCAGATATTTTTATTTTCTTCAACTTCTTTCCTCCCCTCATCATTAGGACTTTGTTTTTTATGCGCCGAGACTGAGAATCAACAAAAGCATCCTGCAGCTGTGCATGGGGAACCATGACCTCTACATGCGTCGTCGCAAGCCGGACACAATCGAGGTGCAGCAGATGAAGGCTCAGGCCAGGGAGGAGAAGCAACAGAAGCAGATGGAGAAGTAGGAAGATTTATTTATTTATTAACTTAGGTCTGATCTTTATAAATTATTATATATAAATTAGTACTTTTAATACTGGTTCTGCTTTTCAGAAAATCAAGGGACCTTGCTAAAAAATAGAGTTTTTGTTTTGTTTTTTATAGCATATTTTTTCTATTAAATCAGAAAAAAATGTTAGGTTTCTATTATTTGTCTGACCATCAAACTATTAACAAATCTGGAAACTACATGATGGAAGAGAGGTTTTACACACTATATTACTGTAAATTGAATTTACCTTCTAATAAACAGCTTAGAGCAGATACATTATGTACGTAAGGATAACCCGGTGACGCCATTTATCACTTGTAAACTGGAAACTATATTCCTCTCCAAATATATTTGGTCTGTTTTTGTGGATTGGCTGAACTGAGAGGGAATATGACCCTGATCTCAGCCACAGCTGTCAGCCTGTGGTCTGTCCCTAACAGCTGTTCAAATAGTGATGTCACAATGCCGATGATACGACATTCAAAAGGAAAACCATGAAAGACGAGAGGCCTTCTTACACACAGTAGCTTCTTAGCAGGCTGTAGGACGCTGATCAGCAGTGTTGGAAGAAAGAGAGATATCAAGCTGTTACTGCAGCTAAAAGAGGCAAATTATGCAAGAATGTGCAAAGCAGCAGTATTAATTTTGCATTTGTATTCAAATTGTGAAACGAGTCAGACATGACAAACTTCTATTTTGCTTAGCATCTTGAAACCTGAATATTTGTCCTACTAAATTTCTAGTCTGACTCTAGAACTGGTCAATGTCAACTGCAGTAGTTTTGCAGTTAAAATATTCAACATTTTTACATTTGCATTTATTTCTGGAATGATCAAAATAGCTCTTACTCAAAACGGGCTTCATAAGAGGATAATTTCTTTATCTAATTTCATCTGATAAGGCCCTAAATAAAAGGAACTAAAGACATAAAATTGGGGGATTAAAGTCATTCAGAACCAAACTTGTACCATTCTGTTCCTAGGTGATTGTAAACTGAGAATACAGTAGCTCCCATGCAAAGCAAATATCATTTAAATTAGTATTTTAGACCATGCTACCATAGGGATGGGTAGATATTTTTAGCTGTTGTCTTAAAGTGTCACACGATATTGTTTTAATATTTATTTTTATGGTAACGATGCATGTTGTAGGATTTTATTGTATACTGGATAAATGTAGATTGAAAAGTGGGGAAAAAAGGATAAGTCACTCTAAGGTCCTTTGAAAAATAGAGCCAAAGAGTTTAGTTTATTCTCGGTATGTCAACAGCTGTAAATACCTCAGTGGTTTGTTGGTTAGCATTAGTTAGGAAAGGGAGCATTACTAATGAGGCAGCCTGTTGAATCAGATGCTAACTTTGGAGGAGCTGCTGAGATAAAAGCTCAGTGTTGGGTCTTTGCATGTGCAGGACAACTATTAGTTCTATACTCAAACTACAAAATGTGGACATAGGTGGCAGGAACAGAACTTTATCCGGTCAAACTGTATTATTACAGGTATGTTTCCAGTTGTGCAAAAATCAGTGACAAGAAACAAATGCAGCGTATATCTTTCTACAATTATCATTGTGAAACAAGAGCAGCATCCTGTGGGGTTTCTTTTACATGTTAATGGAAGGATGGATAAAGCAAAAATAATCATTAAATGAAATGTTAATATGCAAGTTCTGAAGTATATATATTACATATATGTTTGCATGAGTCAATAGCCTAAGCTAGGTATCGTTTTTTAAAATATCTATTTTCCTTTTAACTTAAAGGATGCAATATTACATAAAACCCTGATAAAATGCTTTGAAGCTTGTTGAACTTTATAAAATGTGTACAGATTGAAGGAGAATAAATATTTTTGCAATATCATGTTTATCAACTTATTTGAAAACCTGCTGCTCTACAGTTTAGTGCTCATGGCATCAACCAAGCTGCCTTTGACATCTTTGTCCAATCTGCAGGGCACATTTGGAGAATGAGAAGAAGAAAAGGGAAGCCATTGAGCGGGAGAAGGAGCAGATGGAGCAAGAGAAGCAGGAACTCATGATGAGGCTCTATCAGTTCGAGGAGAAGACTAAGAAAGCAGAGAAAGGTGAGAGGAAGCGACAAGCACTTTAACTCTGCTGTTCATTAATCCTTTACTTTAACCTCTGAGGGTAGAGAACACGTTTCTACAGGGAAGCCGTTGGCATATCTACACAATTGTAGCTCTGTGTGTGTACTATAAACACCGGGCTAGCAGGTTTTTCTGTTTCTGCTGGTTACTTGTTGTATAAACAACATCATCAAGAAAATGCTGTAAAAATGTAAACCTTGGGCCATATTGATTCTATTAGCTCTTGAAATGATTGTGTTGATGTAAAAACTCTATAATATGCTTTTAATAAGCCTTCCAAAGTCAGCAACATGCTTATATATGATAAAATATTATGTTACACATGATAGAGCATTTATTTGTTTGGAAATATTTTTTATTTCCTCTGGCTATTTTTTCTCACAGTGTGGATGCCATCATTTTTATGAAATTAGCCCAGACCTGGTGTATGGTAGCATGATATCAAGCCACTTCTGACAATATGGCTCTTTTCTTAGGACGTACAAACAAAGTCTGAGGCCCCTCTCAACCAAAAAAATCTGATCTTTGTGTGACTCAGAGACTAGCTTAGAAAAGAACAGTTGCTGTCACTGTGCAGATTAGGTGCTAAAGATCCACTTTGTCTAAACTTTGAGCAGAAATTATCATGTTCTACCTCACTGGAGGGACTCACTGGAGAAAGTTGGTAAGTTACTTACCAGGCAAGCGAGGCATTGACAAGGTGGGTGATCACTGTGTTACGTCAAACAGTGATGACCACTCTTTCCAGGACGGGGGGTCTGTTGCTCAGAGATAAGAATTTATAAGAATTACTCTGACTTCAAGCAAAATGCCTTACTGGTCATAGTTTTAATTAACCAATAGAATTACAACATAGTTTAAAGGTCACAAAAGTTGATTTCATGTCATAGCCATTTCAACCATTTACTACTTTTTATAATTCAATGAATGAAGCAATATCAGTTGGTTTTTAATTGAGCTCAACTGAAGGAAGCAGATTTCCTGTTTCCTTTTAGGTGCGATAAACTGGAGCAGGCTTATTAAATCACTATGTGACTCCAGCTTTTTGTTTCCTGATTGTAAACGGCTTATAATGATTCATATTTGCTTTTAATTTTAATCTATTTTCCAAGCAATAATTTGGCTCCCGTCTTACTGCCAGTAATAAACTGGTTGTAATTGGTTCCTGTCTGTAGTGTGGAATGTTTTGACCCTTTGCCATTTCGTACTTTTGCACTTCTCATCAATTCGTACCAGAGAGTTTCTGGTAGAAAACGAGGCCTTTGCTTTCCACAATTTAATTAAGTAATAATTCATATAAAGATTGCTAAATCTCATTAACTAATTAAAATTGGAAGTAAAAGCATAAAGTATGAAGTATATAATTAATATGTTTTTTTTAATTTATTTATTCCTTGGATTTTTTATTTTTTATTCCCTGGACTGATGTATGGAGGGCGGAGCCACATCATTTCAGGTTCCTCGTCCAAGCGGTGTATGATGTCCTCCCAAGCCCCACTAACCTGTTCACCTGGGGCCTGATAGAATCACCTGCGTGTCAGCTCTGCCAGAGGAAAGGGTCTCTTGAGCACATCCTAAGCTGCTGCCCAAAGGCCCTGGGAGATGGCAGATACCGCTGCCGCCATGACCAGGTCCTGCGGGCAATAGCAGATACCATCTGAACTGGCATAAACACCAGCAAGAGTCAACCTCTAAGCAGGAGCATGATTGCCTTTGTTCGAGCAGGGGAGAAACTGCAACCCTCCAAGAAGACCCAAGGGGGCCTGCTCACGACAGCAAGGGACTGGCAGCTCTTGGTCGATCTGGGGAGGCAGTTGAGATTCCCGGATTACATCGCAGCCACGACACTCCGCCCGGACATGGTGCTGTCATCAACTTCCACCAGGCAGGTTGTGCTGCTTGAACTAACTGTTCCTTGGGAGGACAGAATAGAGGAAGCCCAGGATAGGAAGAGGGCTAAATACACAGAACTTGTGGCTGAGTGCCGGAGGAATGGCTGGAAGGCCCGCTGTGAGCCTATTGAAGTGGGCTGCAGGGGCTTCGCAGGCAGGTCTCTACACCGTGTCCTTGGACTCCTAGGGATTTGCGGTCTGCAGAGACGAAGAGCAACCAAGAACATCTTGGAAGCAGCTGAAAAGGCTTCACGGTGGCTCTGGTTGAGGAGGGGGGAGGCGTGGCGTAGTGCGCTACCTGGACACAAGTCGGGGAACTGATCACCCCCGGCTGGGTCGCCCGAGTGAGGGTGTATGACTAAGACTCGAAACACCCAGTGATCTCGGGAGAGTCACTGAAGATGTGTCCAGGTTGCACCACTGGGTGTATTACAATCCTTTTTTCACTTTTGAAATTTTATCCCCAACATGTCAATTTGCATATGCTTTTTACATGCTTTCACTACTGATGAAAGCATTTTTTTCCCCTATAAACTAACTGATAAGGTTAGTTTACATGATTATAAGTATTTATAATAAAAGTATAATCAGAAGTTGCTTAAAAAGATGGGCTTCAGTGGTTTACAGTACAAAAATTCATTGTCATTAGATTGGTCATTATGTCGTCAAGTCTCAGAGCAAGGTTGAATAAAACCAATTTCAGCTGACAAAGTTATTTGCCTTAAAGTAAAGCGAGTATATTTTATTTGTTAGTTAATTTAGATGGCAGTTAATGTTTGCCTTAAGTTTAGATAAAAGTCGTCAGTTTTGTTTGTTCCTATATTTCACTCAAGGGTTAAAACGTTAGATTTAATAATTTTTTTGTCAAATTGGGTGGAAAAGCATCATTAATTTCTCTCAATGCATGTTACATAGTGTATAAAGTTGTCTTTCCTCTGCTTTCTAGATTTACAGGAGCAGCTTCAGAGAGCCATGATGCTGGAGCAGGAGCGGCGGAGGGCAGAGGAGGAGGCTGCTCGGCTGGAGGAGGAACGTCAGGCTGCTCTGTTGGCTAAAGAGGAGCTGGCCCGCCAGGCTGAGAATCAGCTGAAGACCCAGGAGCAGCTGGTTGGTGTTTTAATCATATGATCTTCTGATTTAAGGCTAAATATCAAGCCCATCTTGCTCCACACTTACGCCAGCAATACATATGGGTAAAAATGATAGAACCATTACAAAGGGCACTATTCTTCAGGTTTTTATCCTTTATTCTACAGAACATTTGCTCCAGGGTGAAGGCTAGTAAAGCCAGTTTAAAATATTTAGCAGATCCCACACCCTTGTTCCCTTTTAAAGCAAATACTCTGGTCTGCCATTAACCAGCCACCAGTGTTTCTGTTTGTTTATCAGCTGTTTGAACTCAAAAGCTGCTTTTCTGGGACAGGCACCTGCTGCATTGCCAAACCCAATGAAGAATGTTGAACAGTGTACTAAAATCACTTCTGTACATGATTAAAGGTCTGCTAATGCAGATTTTTGTCTTGTTTTCAAGCTCAAACAAAAACAAAACCCCACACACATTTAATACACAGCTACTTAAACAAAAAAAATCTACGTTCAACAATACATTAAAATGTTTTAATTTCTTGGACAGCACATGAGTGGGTTTAAAGATGCACCTTTGGTAGGAATAAAGAAAACCAATCACCAAAGAAAGATCTATAGAGCTAGAGCAAACATTTAAGAAACTGTAAAGTGCTGAGAACCCCCTGAAAATGATTAATCATCCAGATCATACAAACGTTTGAAGTCAAAGTCAAGTAGAAATGTAGCAGAGCAACATCTGACTCGCTGTAAAGCATTTGGGAAATTTCCTCACTTTTTTCAAATGTCCGAAAGCAGGTACATTCATGATCCCAAGTCCATCAACATTTATGCAATTTGCCTCCAACAGACCTAAGATTCTGTGGGATAAATTAGCGCAAAGAGAGGACAGAAAGTATTAAATGCCGAGCTCTATTAGCAGGGTGGGGAAAAAAGAAACAAGCTCTGCTTGTTGGAAGGAATGTGTAATGACACCTTCAGGGGCTGTCAGTCATTTCTTCACTGCAGTGTGCTTTTCCACTTCTCTCACCTTTTTACCATGACACCAACATTCAGGATTGTAGGTTTGTCTTCTCTCTCTTAGTTTATTTGCCTTGCAAACAGAAAAGTGTTAGAAAATTCATTGTAAATGAAAGATGATCTTTGCCCTTTCTGTCATATATTTCAACTGATATTAAGTCCTAGTCTGATGACCCACCAGATTCAATCAGCATTTCATAGTCAATCATTATCTTTGAAGAAAGTTTCAAAAACAAATCCTGAGTCATGACCCGTCTTGGGGTCCAAGTGATCAACTTGTTGAGTTGTTTTAAATCAAACTGGCTTTGTTCCAGTCTACTTATAACTAAGTCCCAAAACTTGTACTGACTTAAATGTGTTATCCCTTCATAGGAAAACCAGAGGTGGTTTAAACCTTCCAAAGTATTTCGCATCATATGCACAAAGTGAAAAGCTAAGTTGTGCTTCAGCTGGGATTTTCAAACAAAGTATGCTACGGTTGATGCAAGGCTTACGTTAAAATGTTTTGATATGACTTTTTGATTATATGGCCAGTAACTTAGGCTGCAGTCAAACAGCTGGTCTTGATGCTCAAATATATGTTTTTGCTTAAATATGATTTTTTTCACATGGCTATCTAATACACCACTCATCATATTGAGCTACCACCAGAGCATTCTGAACCTTAAACGACTCCAAAGCAACCTGCATGCTCAGAATTAGGATGTAAAAGTTACACAGCAGCTCACGTCTTATGGAAGCCATGATGAATGTTACTGAGACTAAAGGTGTTCATAAGCTTTCTTAAAAAAAAAACTTCAAAGATGCCGGTGTCTCTGCGTTATTAGAGTTTTGAGTGATGGGAGGCAACAGCATCACAACAACATAATTAACAAAGGAGAAAAGTCAGAACGGTACAATTTTTAACAGCTATTTCCAAGGCAATCAGTGATTCTGTTGTGTGGATGTGTAGTGAAAGGCCAAGGAATTCTGTAAAATTCAGATAAAACCCGGGTTGACCATTTAGCCTGCAAACACTTTAAAATGGATTATATACATATCAGAACTAGAGCCACATATGGAAGTGGATCATATTTTCTGTGAAGTAATAAGGACAGAATTGTGCCGTTCAGACTGAACAGTTATAAGTCACATGTGGGATTTGAACTGCATTGACCTGAAATATACACCTTATACCAGCTGTGGTACAAGTATTCTTCTCTCTAGAATAATTTCTTCTGTCTGATAAATGCAGTTTTGATTTTTAATGTTTTAAAACTTGTAATTAGTTTAAGACTTCAAGATGCAGAGAGACTGAAAGCAAAAAACAAGGTTGGGCTAGAGCCCTGCAGGGAGCAGCGAGTAGTGGAGACCCACTAAATATCCTGATCTGTATTATATCCAAAATATTAAATAAATGGGACTAGGTTTGCAAAATAAAAAGCAAAACTTAAAAAAGTTGGATTTTAGGGGATAACCTAGAGTGTTTAAATATTTTCCGTTTAAGATTTTCAATCGTTATATATAATGGAAGGGAATCGTTATGTTTCACAGTTGGCTAAATCATTGAGTAGGTTAAACAATTTTTCACTCTTAATTATGGATAAAAAAAATAAATAAATAACTTCTCAGAAGATTAAGATGCTCTGGGTTGTAAAGGGAATCATTTACTTTGCGCATATCTTCATTAAATTCTGTCTTGTTTACAGGCTGCTGAGCTGGCGGAGCACTCAGCCAAGATTGCGTTGCTGGAGGAGGCCAGGAGACGCAAGGAGGAGGAGGCGAGCACATGGCAGAACAGGGTAAGAGCTCTAAGTGTCTGTCAATTAAATAAACGTAAAGCATCCTCATGGTGTAAGTCGGATCACATCTAAGAAAAACAGCTTTCCCAGGGAAGCACCCATTTTGACCCCCTCTGATTTGATCAGGCTCGAGAAGCTCAAGACGACCTAATCAAGACCAAGGAAGAGCTTCACATGGTGATGACGGTGCCCCCGCCTCCCCCTCCTCCTCCTGCATACAACCATGTGGATTACAATAGTGACAGCGAGGACAACAACAGCACGCACAGCACCGACCTGCAGGTGGACGGTTTCCATGACCACCGCAAAGAGGAGGAGCGCCTGACCGAGGTGGAGAAGAACGAGCGCGTCCAGAAGCAGCTCAAGGTGAGGGAAAGAGGAACATGGTGGACAGAAACATCAATTCGCTGGATTAAAAATCACATGTGGAAAACAAATCCAGTTAGTCTGACAAAAGGATTTTAATTCCAGATACATTTAAAAATGCCATGAAAAAAATAAATAGCTGTTCACAGCTAAATTTGCAAACCTTTCTTAGAAAGGGTTTGTAATAGCCACATTAAATATAGCTTTCCATACAATACAAGAATAAATGTTTCATTTTTTATAAGTTTTCTTGAGAAATTAACACAAAAAAAAACATCTAATGTTAAACAAAATCACATAATGTTAAGTTTACAAAAGATTTCAGAGGTCGGTGAACCACGAAAAATAGAAATTCTAAAAAAAAAAGCCCAGGTCAAACCATTGGGCTCCTAGGAAGAGATGTTTAATAGCTAGATAATCGGTTTTCCTCTATAATCCTCTCACTTTGCTCCTTCTCCCTCCGCTCCACAGGCTCTGACCTCCGAGCTGGCTCAGGCCCGTGACGACACCAAAAACACCCAAAATGATCTCCTTCACAGCGAGAACGTGCGGGCCGGCCGAGACAAATACAAGACCCTGCGACAGATCCGTCAGGGCAACACCAAGCAGAGGATCGACGAGTTTGAGGCCTTATAAGCTGACGTCGCCGCTCGAGCGCACACTTTCTGAATGGTCGCTATCTATCTCACTCTACTGTTGAGACACACAGAAACCCCCTTCAAATGCACCCAAAGACATGTTAAACACGCGCTGGTAGCAGACTAAACTAAAGCAGTAGAAGCACTGCAGAAGACTAGCAGGATGCAGGGGCCTTCAAAACCTTAGTGCCAAAATCTTCTTTTTCTTCTCATAGTGTTTTCGTTTCTGTATTTTTTTTTCTTTTTTTGATGGATTTTTTTTTTCTTCACTGGAGGTTAGATGAAGTACTTTGAAAATGATTGTAAAGCACCCTGTAATCCAAATATTGCAATGAAAGAAAAGTGCTTGTTCATAGCGACCACTCAGAGAGGGGAAGACAGTATACGCAGGAAAATTAATATTTATTTTCCATTATATTTGAACACTTCCAATTATGTTTATTTTTGCCCTAAAGGAAAACATAATCATGCATAGTTTGATATTTATACTGTATATGGGACATAAAGGGTATTTTATCTCAGTTTGTATATTTTTGCTATCTACTAATAATAAAAGCTTTTATTGTTTCAGAGGTTTTATACATCGATCCAAATAACAGTAGTTTTATGTTCCATATGTTGTCCTTTAAATCATATAATTAAAAGAGATATATTGTAAATTATTAATTTTATTTTAGGAGAATAACAGTTGCATGAAAAAAAATGGTTCAAATGAACTCGCCAATTACTTTCATTTAATCAGCTCTGCAGATCATTCAGAGCACTGTGTTCAATGGTACACAAAGTTTAGTTAGCAGTTCTATCATGTCATGTTACAACATAAAATAGAATCAAATATTGGAGGTTTTTAGCCTCTAAAGTGGCCTTTCTGTTGGGACCGTTACAATGAAGTGTGGATGTTTAAGTTGGATGTTTTGCCAAACTTTTATCACCTTTGACCAAAGCAACATTTACTGAAGCTCATGAAAACAATCCACTATGATGAAATTTGTACATAACCAGGATTTTATAATGAGGTGTTCAAGATATTGCCAATAAAGTAACTTGATTTGTCACCTGTTTGTGTTTTTATAGTCTATTCTAGACTTTATCTTCAAATAATAGCTTTTTGATTTTTATTTTTTTTTTAAGGAATCAACCTGTGGATGAGAGAAATAAATGAACAGGAGAGTTTGTTTGTTTCTGTGTAAAAAACAAAACAAAAAAGAGCCCCGTTATTGAAATAAACCTGAAATACTTGCTGGAAATGTAAGCACAAGAATGATTTCTGCAGGAAAAGGAAAATATTATAGGGACTCTGATTCTCTATATGCATTGTGTCTGAAAAGTAGTGGCTGGAGCCTGCATGATAAAACAGTTTTATTTTAACAGCATGAGTCAGTTTTGAGTAGAGAGCTTTGCAGAAGTATTAAAAAGATCATTCCTTAATCTGTTCTTATTGCAACCATAGAAAGCTAGTGGGCTTTTATTCCCAACTAAACATGGATCGCAGTTTCCTAAAACAAATGTTTGATGCATAAAGCCGCTAGAGACTTGCACCGAAGATAATTCTGCAAAGCTTCCTCTCGATACGACAAAGCATTGCACACTTCATATTTTTTGTAAAAACCTATAAAAAACCACATTTCCTCTTCATCTTACTTCCAGATTAGGCCTTGCATTGCATCAATCTTTCACATATAATTACAAAATAAAATTAAGGGTAAAGATCACTTTGTGTAGGCAACAAAGATAGAATAGTCAAGTTGTTATTAATGTTGAACTTTATGTATTTTAATGACATGGAGATCAAAATATCTTTACAGGTAGAGATGGATATTAACTTGGTTCTTTTCTCTGCAGCAGCTTCAGGCAGCTACTGCACGAAGACAGTAAATGGGTTTTCTTATAATCAGAAATAAATAATTATATTAGACATGGTAAAACAACATTACATAAATTATATGCATCATGAATAAGACAGTTGTAATGAAATAAACAGTTTATATAAAGAATAAAGTGCAGAATTATAATTAAAGCTGGGACTGTTGTGGACGGATGCTGAATAATTCCTGGTTTTCAGTCTTTTGGCAACAAAAACATCAGCAGGTTTCCAGTTGCCATGGTGACTCTAAAAACACTATGTCACTGGCCTCAGCTGTCCTTCCAGAATAATAGCCTAGAAACCAGAGAAAGTCTCTCACATGCTGCCTCCTCCAAAACAAGAAAGGCATCATTGTGCAGGAGGAAAGACTGAAGGGCCAACCAGAGCCACTTGTCTGGCTGAAACAACTATTTCCTGGGAGAGGGTGTAGCTCCAGGTTACCGTACATTAGCCCAAAATGTCAGTTCTTTTAAAAATCATGACCTTTGAGATACATGGTTTTAAGTTTTTTTGTCAAAAAAAGATTAATGTATCTTAATCTTAAAAGCAGCTTGATTACAACAGAATGACTTCGCCTTAACAACTTAGGTGAAATAAAGCTAATCTAGTTTCTTTTATAGCCCCATCTGTGAAACATGAAACAAAAAAAAAAAAAAAAAAAAAAAACTGAATTAACTCTTTAAGATTATCAATTATATTCTTGGACTCCACAGGTTTCTACTAGGACTGAAACCATTAATCGGATTAATCGATTATTGAAACAATCGTCAACTAATTTAGTAATCGATTAATCATTAATTGGAGTATAGAGAATCTAAAACATGTTAGCTGACAGAGTGACCCACTTAGAGCAGTAATTATATCAAAATTGTAAAATAAAATTCAGCATTTAAGATAAAAAAAACTTTTTCTTCTGTCAATATGCTCTATCCAGCCTTTGTTAAAGCCTTTGCTTTAAAAACATATAACCTTTGATGAATGAATTTATTTCCTACGTAGACTTAATGCAATCTGTTCATACCGTAATATAAAAAAAATGATTGACTTTAAAATCTTATTTTTCAAAAGAAAAGTGATTTTTGTGTCTAATGTTATTAGGAATGCTTCATAGGAAAGTTTTAACGTAAAGTGGCACTTGATATGATTAAAAGCACTTCTGCTGTTATTAGAGTCCATTCAAGCATCTTCCAGATGCAGCTGTGGTCCAGCAGATCCCAGATCAGGTAGATGGACTTCTTTCCATGAGTTCCTTGTTTCTTCCACATTGTCAGAGACCTAAACACATCATAAAGGCTTATGAATACCAACACAAACACTTGTGCTAAGTCCCTTTAATGCATTCACTATTACACACCAGAACACACAGAACACACCTCAGCAGCCTGCAGACATTAAGGTGCACACACAAGGAGACTCACTGATCCACATGAAATTAATTACACACCCTGAGGTAGGCGTTGTGAGAAATGTTTGCATTATAGGGAGGTTTTTTTTTTCTTTGAAGAATCTGATAAGCACAGTTGATTATTGTTATGTGGTCTGGTGTAACCTCTGTGCTGATGAAACCTCATGGTTTTCTTAGGAGAGCATAAAAGAGATGGCTTACTGACACCTACTGGTAAAAAAAAAAACTGCAAGAATCAGGAATACAAATTTCTTTAAAAAAAAAAAAAAAAAAATATATATATATATATATATATATATATATATATATATATATATATATATATATATATATATATATATATATTAAAATAAAAAGCACAAAAGGCAAGTTCATATGCAAATGAAGGATTTTACTGAAAACCTTAATACCAATATGGCAGAGCAACTCACCTGACTGTTGGAGATTCAGTGTCCATTGAAGTCTGCTGTGCTACCGCTTGGAGTCTCAGCCTGATAGATGCAGAAACACAACAGGAAACACTTTTAGCGGGACATCTTCTCCAACTCATTGTTCAAACAACAGAAATATGCAACAGAATCACATGCTGATTAAAAACCTTGTGCAATATGCAAGTTGGAATAAATGCAGAAACAAAGCTGCAGCTCTTTTTATGTTTATCCAAATAAATAAATGAATATAAAAAAGAACATACGGTGCTGTATATGTAAAAGAAGATAAAGGCTTCTATTTGATTGGAAAAAGATAATGATGGTGTAACGATAAAGGGATACAGCAGTAGTGATCAATGAGCTTTTTTCTGTTTGGAATCCCTGTCATGTTGGAGAACCCAATTCAATTTAAGCTTCAGCTACTTTATCCAATATGTCCCTCTTAGATGAAAGAAAACCAAGATGTTCAAGAAGACTTCGGCAAAAGTTTTGCTGTCAATCTTTGGGTCATTGTGCAGACAAACATTTTAACTTCTAACCCACCAACAATTAACAGCTAGATGGCTGCTGAACACAGAGTGGATGTTCTAACAGGACAACCATCCCAGACACAGATTACAAATAGTTTAACAATGTATAATGGAAACAAACCAGTAGGATTTTTGAATGGCCACAACCTAAAACCCATAGAAAGTTAGTCTAGAAAAATGTAGTCTAGACATATGGTTAAATATCCACACAGTGATATACCAGCATTTTGTTCATGGCTAAAAATATTAAAATATTAGCAAATAGTCTATGAGTATTTTTAAAAATCATGTATCTGTGAGGGAAAACTTGTAAAACAACTCAAACTTGATACTCAGCCCTTGCTTTAAAAACCTCTTACTTTTTATTTTTAATAAGATAATATAAAAAAAATATATTTTTTGAAGTTTTAACTTGTTTATGCATAGAACCTCAGCCATAAATAACCAATATACAAATGTCCCTGTTTTGGGCTCTCATTTAATTTCCCATACCTTTGGACACAGCGGGTACCAGTATAAGCCTTGGAAGGTGCTGTTCTCCTGTCTCCAGCCATCCAGAGGAATGAGCACCTCACCCAAAAACACTTTCTTTGTGAGGGTCCCTGAATGCCACACAGAGGCCTGCAGTCTCTTTCCAAACAGCAGATGGCGCTCTATATTATACTGTAAAAAAGGACACAAATTATTTTATAACAAAAGAATTGCTCCCCCTACTGTCAACAAATATTTATAACCCTGATTATGTGATTACTAAAGACCTTCAATCACTTTTTAATAATGAAAATACATTAATAGGCATTTTTTTATATGTTGAATGTCAATTTAAAACACCATGATATAAAATATCCTGAAATTATCTTTTTATGACTAAAGAATGTGTATTCATAAATGACTGCTCCTTAGTCTTAGAAGTTAAAGAATACTATATTGTGTCTTATTACCTTAAAAACCTCATTATAAACGGGGTCAGTTGTGTTTTTCTTCACCGACGTCTTCATTTTACTGTTTTTGTCTGGAAGCACGTAGAGTTTCACATATCTACCGAGGAGAATAAAGACATAATAAGGACACTGAGTTGGAAAAATAGTTACACTTTCAAACCACTCTCTAATAAGGCTATCCTTACGGGTGACTCTTCTTTTTCTTGCTGTTTCCATAAGCCAGATTTCTGCAGGAACCGACAGTGATCTCCAGACAAGAGCAGCTGTGGTTGTAAGCCACAGCAAGCTCCATCTCCCCAGACACAAGGATGCCCTCAAAGATCCCACACTCTGTGCTGATGCTGCTAATGCTGCCCTGCAAAATCAATTAGAACAATTTCTCCAGTTGGTCATTTTATGTCTGAAAGTTAAGAAAAGAGTTCAACTAACCCCGATCTGTCTTCTGATACTTTATTTACAGGAAGGTGTTTTGTTTTTATCTCTGATCGGTGGCTTTCACTTACTCTGTGATTAATAGATTGCTCCGAGCTGAACGAGGTTTCTTCCTCTGCACCTGTAGATGAACTCTCATGGTCGCTGTCTTTGCTTTTCTTGAACAGGTTTGGAAGACTTTCCTGTTTAGATAGCTGGCAAAGAAAAAGCAACAGCTCGTTGGATTCAGGTCATTTCGCTCAAAGGATCAACTGATGCCCCTAAAGGGAATTTCAGGAGCTGTGATTGACTTACAGAGCAAGATTTGTGGATGTCTGTTTCTGAAAGGCTTTTTTGGGTGCTATAGCGAAAACACGTCCGGTTGGGGTCTACTGTCAGCAGGTCTCCTCTCACATCATTCTGAGAATTGGAGAATCCTGAAATAAAAGAAAAAAAAATTACACACTCCAAAT